TTTTAATGGGTATAAAAATGTATTCTCCGAGCTACTGAACGTACATTAGGGTTAGTGATGTTAGGCAGATAGAAATACACACAGCTGAGCCGTTAGTACCTGATTTAACATTACAGTGTATTCAAATATGCCATAACCACTTCCTATATAACATTTCGAATTCATAATTTACGAAGCTCCTGCGATGTGACATAATTACGCATTACATAAAACGTCCTTAAACATAACTTGAAGCGTCGGTGGGCTTCTAACAGAATACGCGTCATCACATCTCGGAAGACCGTAATCACGACACTGCCGTGAGAAGCTTAATCTGATACGCTACGAAGAACCTGTTAGTCAGCATAGGCATTAAGTTTCATTACAGGTTCGGAACAACACAGCCTGGGACTCTGGCTTGAGACGTCTCTCTACACTACCGCACTTTCACTTATTATTATTATTATTATTATTTATTTTAACTGGAAATCCTGTGGCAGTGGTACTACAATACAAATAACACACCACGGTCAAACAAAAATACACAATCAATGAAGGGCACACTGCACACAATGAATACAATTACAATTATATAAATTAATTTAACTGACGTTCTTTTTAATATCTTAAACGCTACGCCTCCAAAATGGTTCCCTTTCTTCATGGTTTCCTACAAAAATTTCATACGGATTTCTTCCCATACGAGTAGCAGTCTCAACCTTTTACCACTGCCTCGTGAACAATGAAGCATCCGAAGGGAAGCAGGTATTAAACGTTCTTTCCGNGGTGATTGATAGTGTAACGGACCAAAATGAAACAATTCAAAATCATAAATTCAATTTAAGAGTACAGAAGGCTGAGGAGAAATAGGTAGTTTGTTGTTCATGGAGGACTGTTATTAACAAGTTGCGAGGTAAACACAGCTTTGTATATGCTCCTTACCATTCACATGCAAATTGGCAAGTCATACCGTTCGTACAGCCTGTTTATGTGAGTCACCCAATACTATAAGCTGTGCAGAAATTCGTGTCACGTCAGGGTACAGCTGAGTCCATACTTGTTGCATAGAGATGCGTTAGAGTTAGAAAGTGTTCAGCGGGCGGAAAATGCTTAATGGCGGAGTTTTGTATTCCAGGAAACAAATTCCCAGGAAGAAAATTCCATGTTCAAGATATTCAGTTTTACTGGCGTTCTTCCCTTTCAGAAGGTAAATGATTTGAAAAACCACCGTGCAAAATTATACCTGTGTCGAAAGGGGTCATACACACACACACGATAGATGGAATACGTGAGCAGTGAAACGGTCACGTAATTCTAAATACAAATTATGCATTTTTTAAGTGTGTTCACTTAATTTGATTTTTCCAGGAAGTTATAAAGGCTCGGAAGCAGTGGTGTGCCAAGAGACACGGATAAGGATACCTTACAATTATGTAACGTGGAGAATGTTCCGAGCCATTAGGTCTGATAACTGTGAACTAAGACAATTACGTAATGAGGTGCTTTACAAGTTGTACAAAAGGAAGACGCTGTTTGGATGTGTAGCACTCATACGAAAACAGGAAACGCACAGGCTAATATCTCATGGGAAAGGGAGCTGGAAAATCTAATCATAAGTGTGGGGATAAAGTCATGTGAATCTTAGGGGATGATGTGAAGGTCTGAACTTCAATTACCGACACGAGATGATGAGGAACCTGTGAGTCTATAACTGCGAACAATTATTCGTGGAGGAAGGTGCCATATATACGACAGCATTTATAGCTGTATATTGTATATAAATAAAGAAAAATGTCGATAAAACTGACTGTAGTAATTATCGGGGGATATCACTGCTATCAACTTCGTACAAAATTGTATCCAGTATTCTTCTCTCAAGGTTAAGTCCATACACAGATAAAATTGGCCGGTCACGGTAGCCGAGCGGTCTAAGGCATGCACTGTCTTCGCTCGCTCGGAAGCCGGGATCGTGGGTTCGAATCCCACTCAGGGCATGGATGTCTGTGTGCGTTTTTCTGTGTTTGTCTACAGGTAGAGGCCTTGCGACGAGCTGATCACTCGCCCAAGGAGTCCTACCGAATGTGTAAGATCTAGTAAACCGAAGTGAAACGGAGCGTTTCATGGAGGTAGGCCTAGGCCCAAATTGGGGCTGTAGCGCAACAAGAAAAAAAAAATAGATAAAATTACTGGGGATCATCAGTGTGGGTTTCGAAGTAGCAGATCAACTACTGATCAAATCTTTTGCCTTCATCAGATACCGGAGAAAAAAATGGGAGTACAATGAGACAGTACATCAGCGATTCATAAATTAAAAAGAAGCCTATCATTCAGTTAGGAGGGAAGTATTGTACAATATTATCATAGAGTTTTGGATACCCATGAAACTAGATAGGCTGATTAAAATGTGTTTAAACGAAACGTATAGTAAAGTTCGCATAGGTCTGATAATTTTCATACCAAGAATGGTCTAAAGAAGGAGATGCTTTATCGTCACTGCTTTTCAACTTTCCTTTAGAATATGTCATTAGGAAGGTCCAGGAAAACCAGGTGGGCTGAAATTAAACGGGACACATCAGCTGTTTGTCTATGCTGATGGTGTGAAACTACTGGACACCATAAAGAAAAACAGAAACTTTAATTGACGATAATAAGGAGCTCGGTCTAGAGGTAAACGCAGAGAAACCTGCTGTCTCGTCACCAGAATGCAGGGCAAAATCATGACCTAAAGATAAGTAACAGATGCCTTGTATGTGTGGCACAGTTCAAACACTGTATTTGGGAACGACAGTAATAGATCAAAATTTGATTCAAGAGGAGATTGAACTCGGGTAATGCTTGCTACCATTCAATCCAGAACCTTTTGCCTTCTCGTCTGCTGTCTAGAAACATAAAAGATAGAATATACAAAACTGTAATTTTGCCTGTGGTTCTGTATGGGTGTGAAACTTTGTCTCTGTCATTAAAGGAGGAACATAGACTGAGGGTGTATAAGAACAAGGGTGTTGAGGAGAATATTTGGATTAAGGAGAGATGGAGTGACGGGAGGTAGGAGAATACTGCATAATGATGAGCTCCATAACTTGTACTCTTCTCCAAGTGTAATTAGAACGATCAAGCCAAGGAAGATAAGACGGGCAGGGTATGTAGCATGAATTGGGGAGAACAGGAATGCATACAGGAAAGCCAGAAGGAGAGAGACCACTAGGAAGACAATGACATAGGTGGGTGGGTAATATTAAAATGGATCTTACAGAGATAGGACGGGGTGATATGGACTGGATTGATCTGGCTCAGGATAGGGACCAGTGAAGGGTTCTTGTGAACACGGTATTAACCTTCGGGTTCCATAAAATTTTGGGAAGTTCTTGAGTAGCTGCAGAACTGGCGGTTTCTCAAGTAGGCCTCAGCTTCATTAAATAAGATAAATAAGCATCAAGGTTTCATCAAGTGCAACAATTTAGTATTTACAAATCTTTTATATGTTTCGGCCACCGCTGGCCGTCTTCTGAAGGCAAAGTCTAGCCTATAAAGGAGACAACTTTACACATGTCACATGTTGTTTAAAATAGATTTCCACAACTGGAAATCAAGATAGATTGAAATACTAATGTAATTAAGATAAGTTATCAAATTGTTGATAATATGAGTATAATTAATTAAAAGTTCGAAAATTTGAAAGTCCAGTGGCGGCCGTATTTTCTTGCTGTTGGTGTATAAAATCTCTTGAGTGATTGGTCGTATATTCTATTGTAGTGGTGTGTGTGTGTTTTCTGGTGGGTGGGGGCCGTGGGCGGGATGTGTTGTAGTGCTTCAAAGTGCGACGACTCAGAATGTCTTACAAAAATAAACACGTTTTTGTATAAATTGTTACAAAATGTGTACAATCTAATCAGTATGTTTGAAATGCGAAATGAAACCTAGGTTTCGTTATATTTATTTGAGACACACAAATTTCATCAGTGGAACAATATGGTACCTAATATGGATTACCACCAAGTAAACAAAACTCTGTACTCCTTTTATGGAAGCCAGCATTATTTAAACTGAGAAACGCATTGTGCTAATGTTTCTGGTCAACTTCTTTGCAGAATTAGCACAAAAACAAGTCATTTTCTGCACCTGAACATTCTGTATGGTACCATGCCGTCGACCATCAGCAACAGAGAACGAGACTCAAGTCAGGGATCACTACTGGGCTGAAACGTCACTTCACTCAAGCGTCTACCTGGTGGTTCATTACAGCGTTGTCATATTTGGATTTCCCATAACAGTGGTTTTCCACATTAGGCGCGAATTCCTTACACGACACGTTTCCTCTATAACGGGAATAAACACTGAGTAATCAAACAAGGCTCTCTATAAGAGATGACCGCGTCGCCTGTCAGTTTTCTTGTCAATCAGTGAGTTACAATCTCTTTGTGAAGTCTTTGATGATACATTCAAACTATAGTGAGGTATAAGATTCGGTTTTATGTTTTGTTGTCGATAATCATTTTAATTGTGGTCTTCTGGGTTATGAAACCATGTAGTCGGGTAGTGTCATCAACATGGCATGGCCGCCTCTGTAGTCTAGTGGTCAGAGTTCCTGGCTACAGATCCAGAGATCCCGGTTCGATTCCCGGCGCTGGCAGATTTTGTGAGAAGTAGTGGGTCTGGAACGGGGTTCACTCAGCCTTGTGAGGATAGTTGATGAGCTATTTCAAGGAAATAGCGGCTCTGGTCTAGGAAACCGAGATTTAACGGCCCTGGGGATCCGTTGCGCTGACCATGCGACACCCTCTATCCGCTAAAGTTGGCACTAACTTCGCCGACGAGCGGCGGTCGCTCGGTCGGTATAGTTCGCTGTATAGGTGTAGCTGTCTTTCCAGAAAATTTCAAGCTATCGAGGTTAGCTACTTTTGATAAAATTTGTTTTTAACGTTATCTCGTCGAGATTTCAATGGGCTTTATGGCAGTGTTTAAACAATGAAGTCGTATGATCTGTATTACCCTGAAACACACTGTTTGTTCTATGTTGACAGGTATGGAGTTAGGATGCCATGAACTCAGATCCAAACGCTATATATCGGATGGCCTGTGCACAACCCCGAAACCAATCAACGAAGTGGTATGCGCTGATTGGTGCATCATGCCCCCGGGACAAATGCCTGGACAACAGTCACCTACTTTCATGTCAAAAATTGACTGGCGAGAATGGGCAACCAGACAGAAACAAAAGAAAACGAGCTCCGTCATGCCCAGCCCGTTCCTAATGGGCAATGACACCATAGCAACGCTGATGCCCCAAAAATGGCGGTGTGTGGACGGAACCGCCAAGAAGAGGAGAGTAACGCTCATTTGTAAAGATGGGTCACGACGAATCTACCGCGTGAAGGTGGTCAAACGGTGCAAGTGTACGAAGAAACACATGAAGCAGCAGGACAAAAGGAAAAAAACCCGACGTCTGGACCAGTCTAAGAAGCGTATTGCTTGAGTACACACTGCATTATATCAAGTGTTTACAAAAACAGTAGATGCCAACTACGAAAATAAATTTGTTTCCGGATTATGGAGCGCCCCCATGAGACTTGCTTTCTGTATCGTTTCAAATTTTACCGATCGTTCGACAGAAATTGAAGTCGATGGGTCAGATAGTTTACTTGGATTGCCGTCTTAGGGCAAAACTTGGTAGTGAAGAAAGACGGGGACATGTGTTTTTATCAGTTAATGTGTTTCAATGCAAGTATGGGAGATATTATGTGAACTTCTGTTTTTAAATGTCAACTGCAGTGAACTCCCCGTTATCAGGCATATATGTGGAATGCGGTGTGACGGTTACATAGATCTGCCGGTTGCATGAGAAAAACAATTCATAATTTTCACCCTTTCCCAGTCTTATATTTTTTTTTCGAAGTCAAAACAACACCTTTACACTTTAGTTTCTTAGGTAGTGATGAGTGAAAGATTTTGTGTGAGCTGTAATGGTCGTAATGGCACTTGCATGAGGGAGAATGGGCAGCGCTACTAGTAGCGGCTGGGAAAACTACCACGTGGTTGGTGAACATACGCGTATCACGGGTATGTATAAGCACTGCCACTCTAATGGGAAGGTGTGTGAAAGTGTCTAATTGATTCTACACAAGTGTTTTAGGGATGTACAAGTACACTGAACAAGTTCAAGTACCCATTCTTCACTCGGCATATGGTTGCTTTCCTTGTTAATATTACAGTACTGGCCAATAGTTGGAAGGAATTCAGAAGGAATAGCACTATAATCAAGAAATTGAAATTTGCTCATGTAACTAATAATGTTAAAAAGGGCTGGGAATGAGGATTCAGATCACTTCAAAAAACCCTAAAGCAATAACTTGCTCAGACATCACTTCAGCAGACATGATTACCTTACACGTTGGTAAGAGTGTGAATAAATTTGAAAACATCTTTCAGTAGTCTCTATTACATTTGCAGTAGGAAACGGGGTATTGAAAAGTCACATTTTTATATATACTAAATGGCAGCTTCTGATTTCAGATTATAGTACTGAACTTGATTTAATGAACTGTTATGGGCATGTGCTAGATGCCTGTTTTAAAGAAAATCTTTCAAATCTGTAAGAATTGATTTTCATTCTATGAAAGATACTAATTACATTTTGCAAATCAAAATATTATGATCATTCATGAGATTAAAAAATACACAAAAACAAATGATTGTAGGATTTGAAATTCTCACAGGAATGGTTATGAAGAGTTCTGGGATATGACAGTATTTATAGTTATCCAACGTTTCAGTGGAACATGTCACCCCCATCTTCGGGGCTGAAGAATAAGTGAAGCAAGTCACCTCTATCTCCACCCTCCTCAAGATGGAGGTGACATGTTCCTCCAAAACATTGATTGACTTTCTGTGGACTACTTGACATTATAAGCCAGAAGTGAGAACTCTTCAAATGTTTGTTCATTCATCATGTGCTACCATATTAAACTTTCAGAATTTGTTAACATAATTATTACAATATAGTTAATCTGGTTACTCTTAGGATTTGTTACCAAAATTACTATAATATGGTTAAACTGGTCACAGTTCATTGCTGTGTTGAATGTAAACAAGTAATAAGATCTGACATCTGCTGAACATGACACTAAAATTGTTCAGATCCAACTAATGCCACAAAATTAGGCAGTGCAACTTAAAGGTTGCATACATTTCATCAGCTGTCTTCATCAATAAAATCGTTCATATGCTAAAAAGTGCTTGCCATATTATAAGAATGTGAATATTCATTTGTTTACAAACTATAACACAGAATGTCTCCAACAGCCACTGTGTCCTACAGAGAAAATGGTATGCCTTGCACTGAAATTTCCACAAGCAAAGTCATTCATGTAAAACATGCAGCTATGTCACCATTAGAGTCTTCTTCAACAGCAAAATGGGTATATATCCAGAGGGAATACATATTCACTGAAAGCATTCTATTTCCTCAGATGGTTACTTTTGAATCAGATGTAATGTTTTGAAAAGCATTAATTTTCTGCACAACCAGGAAAAGAAAAATATCAAGAGAAGGCTCACTTCACTCTGGGAAGCCCACCGTCAGTACTCCAACAATTAGGAACTGGTAATAAATTATCTCTATGTTAAATACCATCCACTGTTCATTACTGAGTTTTACCTTAGAAATAATATTTTGTCAGGCACACACTTGGGACTTAATGGAAGCAGTTTTTTCTGTTTAATCTTTTCACCTTTCTTGCAGATTATAATTACCTTTTCTTCCTACCCTTCAGTTGCTTGCTGAAAGTATCTTAATTTCAGCTGAAGATAGGCTGATAACCATTCAACTAAACAAGCTATCAGGGCCTTTGCATACAGAATCTTCATAAAATTATTCACCTCTGGAAAATCAGAATACCTCCCAGATGTATTTCTGTCTTCAGAAGTATACAATGCATCAACAGATTATATCAACATAATTTGTGCTTACAAACTGGAACAGCATTAACTGCCTTATGATTACAGCAGTGAAAAGGTGTGTAGAAAGTTCAAAATTATAGGTAATAATTTTCAGAATTAAAACTGCACACTTCATTGAGTCCTGTAAACACCAGAAGACACAGCATCATCACACAAAAGTCTGAAACAGCCTGAAGAATGACTTACCTTTGTCCATGAAACCTTTTCTATGGCTGCTATATCACGTCTCTACTAAGTAAAGGCAGTACTACGGAGTAGGAGTAGGTATGAAATTATCTGCATATGATGGTCTGGGCAGGGGTCCCATTCATCCTGTTTTTCCTTATAATTTCCCGCTGTCTTGAATTTATTTTCAATCTCCTGCTTTTAAGTGCTCTTCTGTAACAGAAATTTCTATTGATAACCGCTTTGTAATGGATGCTATTCTTTGCAATTGGCTTTTCTATAATGATGTTAACATTCCTGTTGGCTAATCCAAAAAACACATTTTCACAAAATATTAGTTTTTCTGTTGGCAATATGTCTTTTTTTCATTTATGTTGGTAGTATTTTTTTGCTTCCATAATGCAAGTTCCATTTGAATCATTCTCTGCAGTTTGTCAACTGCTATGTTGTGTTGTGAGAGTATGTGAGAATTTATAGGTTTTCATATATAATTTTTATTGTGTCCCATTTTTCCACTAAATGTCCTGGTTTTGTAGGGAAAAAATGGAAATGTCCCGTTTTTTTGAAAAAGAAAATTATGGGAACCCTAGGCTAGGGTGATGTAACTAACTCTGGGCACCAGTGTCCTCCTTGAGAAGCTAAAAACTACTCATCTACTCTTTCATGGAACCTGACAGCTCATTACCATGTTCACAGGAACCTGCTACTGGCTCCTCCTCTGAATCACATGACTCCAGTCCACACTCTCACAGTCTTAACAATTACAATCCAAATCAAAACCAGTCCACTTGAATATGTAACACACAGAATTTCTTATGATGATTTACAACCATATGGTCATGATAGTCCTTGATATGCTTCCACCCCAGTGTTGTATTCTGGGAGTCTTAGGTTCAAATCCTAACACAGAAACTGGTTTTCCTGATTTAATATTTTTCCTCAGTGTCTGCAGTCAAATGCAATGCCATTAGACCAGGCCAGTTTCTTCGTCATCCTTTCGAATTCATTATTCATTAGTCATCCTGTCATTCAATGCTATATAATCTGAAAATGTCACTAAATAAATGAGCAAATTTAGTTAATAAGCTTCCTTCCCTATAATTCTGTCCTTTGACACTATTTAACATACAAAAATGACAAAGTACAATTAAAAAATCATGCACAAACATACAGAGTCCCTTGAAACTTATTACATCTGAACAAGCCATGTTTCCTAAAAAAACCTGAACACAAAAAGTTGAGGGCACAGTAGTATCATATCATGAAGACTTTCAGTACAGGGAGGGTGGGACTATATATTCTGTTTTGAGGTACTTTCCTTAGAAAGGGGATTTACTAAATATGGTAAATTCTTAGTGTTACTTCAGGTCCTGCTAGATTTTATCCTTAATTAGAGTCTAGTATTAAAATTAAAATTAAGAAACTGAGGTGAAATCACATCTAAAGAAAACAATAAATGTATTTATTTGTGTAAAGAATAGAAAATGAAGAATGATCTAATCTAACTGTATTTCATGAAGAAGTATTGTTACCACTCTGCTGTAATAATAAAGAGTGTAGATTTATGGTTCAAAATTACAATTATCAAAGTAATATAACACAGATATAAAACAAGCCTATATACAGCCTGTTTGTCTGTACCTCTGTAATTTAGTTTGTATTCTATGTCTAACCATAATATTGCTTCAGACACCAGACTGCTGTCACATCACTGCAACCAATAAATAGAATTAAAAATTCTTGTATTCTGTATTACCAGAATAAGGCCTGAGGCCTATACTACTGATTTGCAATTTGTATCAGCATACGATTTATGCACTCTGTATGCAGTATGTAACATGATAAACACCTTATGGTAAAGTCACATCTGTCCACCTGAGGGATGTTGGTAGTATGAAATGCTTACATTTGTCACAAATAAGAGTGATGTGCAGTTACATAATCAGTTGAGTCTCTATGCCAGCTAAAAACATTCTGGATATGACCAGATTATTTAACACAACTGTACTGACAAACTGTCTCTGTGGTCTAGTGGTCCAAGTTCCTGGCTACAGATCCAGAAGTCCCTGGTTCGATTCCCAGCGCTACCAGATTTTTTTGAGAAGTGGTGGGTCTGGAATGGGGTCCACTCAGCCTCACGAGGATAACTGAGAAGCTATTTCAAGGAAATATCGGCTCCGGTCTAGAAAACCGAAATTAACGGCTGCGGGGATTTGTTGTGCTGACCATGTGATGCTCTATCCGCTAAAGTTGGCACTCTCTTCGCTGACAAGCAGCGGTCGCTCAGTTGGTATAGTTTGCTTGGGGACTTAAGCCACGGAGTTTGTTTATTTGTACTGACATTATAGGTCATGCAGTATTAAATAAAATGAATGACAGATTGGAAGGGGGTGAGAGGTTAAGCAACCAAAACCTGTTGGAGGTACTTGTGGGAATGACCATGAAGATTACTGTCTTCTAGGGTGTAACACCTTGTCGGTTTGTATATAAGTATCAACATTTGAGAGGAACCTGCTACCTGCATTTTCAAGGTAGGCCATGTACTAAAATATCTGGCATCATCCCATAACACAGCATCTTGATATCTAGCCAATATTCATGCTCCCTAAATACAAATGAGACATTACCATTATTCTGTGCAGATTCACTTAGCACTAATACAGCCAGTTTGTATTCAGCAAGTATATTGTTCATGTCTTGATCGGGCACCAACCACCCTGAATTTTCATACATTTTCTCAATCATTCCAGAACAGACGCCTTGAAATATACAACTGTTTCCATCCATTTTCTGTATATATCAACACGAAAATCACTTTCTAATCTCATTTGTATTTAATGCAACAACATTAAGCAACCTAGTAAACAAAAAAATGACTGAACTAATTTCAGCATTGACAAGACAGCAGAAGAGTTAAATAACATAAAACTATATAAACATCAAAATGGGTTGTGGCTAGTCCTGCAGTAGAATTAGATGCTGTCTGGAGTCTGAAGTTACAAAGATATCATTCATATAGGTTTTCATTGAGCCACTGGCAGATCTAAAAATGTTCCTTCATGTTGAATATTATTTTTTCACTGCTACAGCTAATGGCAGAAGTTAGTGTTGGGGTGAATGCTTAGTGATTTACAAGAACAGTTTGTAGGAGTGCTGTACTCCCACCGAGTTGTTTTAATCATGACAATTGTGTATTTAATCTCTTAGTATTACTGTTAGGATTATTGAAACATGGTTAAGTTAATTTCAGTTTAGAATATTGTGCTTTATATGTATCCATTTCCATAATGAATATGACTGAATATACCTAGGCTTATAGTTTGAATAAATTATTACCTCTTCATAAACATTGAAGTACTTGACAAAATGTGACAAAATTTTGTGTTTTGGGCTGATCTGTGGTGAACAAAATGGCAGAGGGGAAGTATGAATATTCATGTTCCCAGCCAATCACAGTTCCCCTGCTGCTCCATGTACATCCATCATATCTCCTTAGGTGTGCAACACACTCAACCAGCCAGCATGTTTGTCACATCCTCAGTCCTCAGATGGGAATGCATCTCTGACCAATGTTCCCTCTAAGCTGCTGCGTGTGTGCATGTCCACACAGAGGCTGTCACATTCCTGCAGACTTTCACTGGGTTACTATATAGTCAGTTTCAGTTAATAAAAATAAAATTGAAAAGGTAAATAGAATATTCTATTTTTGGGATCTCAAAAATTTAATGTCTATTATGAACCTTTTTCACAAATCTCTGCCCCCCCTCTCCCTATATGTTCCCCGAGCCAACCCACCTGCTGTTCAGGAGACATCATGGCTTGTGCATTTGCATCTCCAGCTCAGATGGAATGTTGCCTCTGACCAAACACTGGTATGGACTCAAGAGTGAGCTATCCTTTTCAGCATGTCAGCAGGAGTGAGAATAGAATTTCCTAATTTAAAGCTTTATCATACAGTGAGATTTTATTAATTTTTTATCCAGGGAATTTTGTGAGTGGTGAAAATATCTGATTCAGGTGAAGCAGTCCTCCTTTGACTTCAACAGGAAGCAGTCATGTTCACATTAATTTAGACTGGTCCGACTTTCCAAACAGATGCATATATGTCGTACGGTGACTCGGCAACTGTATACAGTGTGATGCCCCGATACCAGTTTATATTATCACATGTGGGATGGTACGTGTGACAAGATTATAATTCACTGTTACACACACACACTAGTCCTCTCCTGGTAATGCAATTAAAACAAAGGAACCAGAACTTAAAATCACTCCAAATATTACACAGAAATAAATTCTTTGTATCACACTTTAAATTCTCACAGGCCGACTTCCTATATTCTTCTGTATTCCTGGTTCCAATTTGCTCTGCTCGTGTGCTTCTGTTGCACTATTTCTTCTTCTATGACGTACTCAGAACTCAGAACTTAGGACTCTTGTCACTCAGCACGGCGGCCACTGATTGGCCACTGATTATGATGATTGAGAATTTGGTGGAATGAAGATTGGCAGGGGAAACCGAAGTACTTGGAGAAAACCCGCCCCAGCGCCATTTTGTCCACCACAAATCCCACTTGACCAGACTCGGGATCGAACCTGGGCTGCCGCGGTGGGAAGCCAGTGACTAACCGCTTTAGCTATGGCGCGGCCTCGTCACTCACTCACTTCTAGTTCCAATTCACTCTCTGAACTTACAGCTCACAGTTCTCGTTATATAGCCGCAGCACAGACCTCATAGAAAACACAGCCTCTATTGTTGAAAATGTTTACCGAACCATTGCATAGCAACAGTTGCGTTGTAGACCCCATAGAAAACCAGTCACATGATATCTCTTCAGTCTGTTGGTGCACTGACTGTTACCTAGCAACAAGGTATACACATTCGTTTTATTGCTGTAACACACTCAACTGATGGTTGTTTACAGGACACTGCCTAGAAACGCTCTGGCCATCCACATTACAATATATTGTGGTGGACTGCCCACATTATCATCAAAAACACTTCTAAATTCCATCTTCATGGCATGATGTGCAACATATTTTGAGGTGTGCCAAAGGTTTATTCATTACCACTGTTGCAGTTCCAAAATCACTTACTTATGCAGAGGTGAGCGTATGAATTGTGGTCTTCTTGGTTGTGGCACGTGTGATGATGTGTGTTGGTGACAGAATATGCTGCTTTTCTTTTAGGTCAACCCTGAGATTGGGAGTGATATGTACCTATAGAGTATTGATGTCAACATATGAGGGCTGCAGTCCAGGAAGACCATAGTCTGAACAATATCATTTACCTTTTTATTATTTTAACATTTTAATTTCCATGCTGCAGAAATATCTTCTTTTTTTTCGTTTATTTGCGCCATTTTTAGTGGCTTAATGAAAAGGCCGTATACAGCGTGGTATCTCCATGTCACTTTTAATGTGTGGCTGCTATGAAAATTACCTAGATTTTTTACCAACAATTTTACTCTCAGGACATTTTAGTTTGAAATCATAAATTAACTTTACCATGTGTTGGATTATAGATTTACCTATGAATCTTAGATAGGCAGAGTGAGCTGGGATAGTGCAGTCACTATAGCAACTAGCTACTGGCTGGATGACCGAGAGGTCAGAGTTTGAATCCCGGTGGGGTCAAGAATTTTCACTTCTCCATGTTGCTCAGACCAGCTCTGGGGTCCACCCAACCTATTCAATGGGTACTGGGGGTTCTTTCCCTCGGAGCAAAGAGGCCGGTGCACGAAGCTGACCACTCACCTGCAACTAGTGCCGAGGTCAAGAAAACATGGGCCTATACATCCACTCCCCTATATGACCTCATGGCAGAGTGCTTCCTTAGTTTAGTATAGGGACAACTTTACCTTTCTATATAGGCAGAAATAGCCTTAGATGCTGATGCACCTCTGAATGTATGCACACATGCATAGACAACTGGTATTCTAAACTGTGCAACAAATCTCTTCACTCTCTCCTAATAAATGCCATGACTGTGCCTTGAAAATGGTCATGGCCGTCTCCTTCCAGATACTTACTCATTAATCATGATCATGTATTTAATTCAGTGCTATGTAACAAAACAGGATCATAAAATAACCTAAAACTCAATGCATATTTTTCATTAATCTACGTTCATAGGAACTGTCACAACCTACCAGTTCTAATGTAGTTCCTCTTTAAAAATTTATATTTTAATAATAAGAGTAATGAGCAGGGTAATGTGTTATGTTGTTCTGAACATGGTAATGAACCTTCAGGTTCCATAAAAGAAATTTCTTGACTGAGTGACTACTAGGTTCTCAAGAAAGAAAGACTATGGTCTCTGGAGTTAGTTAATAATGTGGTGGTCTCCAGTATTATGAGATTCATACTGAGTTTTCTGAAAACTGAATATTTGTGAATGACTCATATGACCATGGTACTGTAGTGAATAGACCTGTTACTTGGTAGTGATCGCAAACAGGTTCCCACAGCAACGAATCAACATTATAACAACACAGGAACTGTTTGAAGTGGTGTTTTCTGTGGTCTGTGCCACGGGACCATAAATAAGACTCTGCACCAACAGTTGAACTACAACATTAGATGAACTGTTTTCTACTTGGTCCATGCCTATGTTATAAACAGGATAAAGTTTTGAGCTGATTAGAGCTGAGTCAGTTGAAAGTCAGTCTGTGAAGAGGAGATTAGAATGTCAGCCTGGAAGGTAGTCAGCTGAAGCAGTGAGAGAATTGGGAGTCTGTGCAGTTAGTTCAGTTGTGGGATACTTGACAGACAGTAAGGACCTAAGCAGATTGTGTTAAAATCTGTTATCAGGAAACGACTAGTGAAGATAGAGAAGACTAAGTGTGCTGTGGTTAAAGTGATATTTTGAGCGTGTAATTCCTTGAGACTGATATAGTTACTTGTAGTTATGATCCGTAATTGGTCACTAAATCCAATTACCAATCCAAACCCCATCTACAGTCACTCTTAACATGCGACAATACAATAAGCCTTTCCTTAAGTTAAAGTACTCAAAATAAGTTGAGAAGGAAGGATATTAAAATTAATTTTGAAGATACAGGATGTGATGAAGTGGACTGGATTCAGCTTACTCAGGATAACGGTTCAATTGTGGGCTCATGTGAACATGATGGGTTCATACAAACTAAAGAATTTCTTGACCAGCTGAATTAACTTTCAACCCTTCAAGGAACATTCTGCAATATCCAGTTACAAAATGCTCCATTTCCACATAAGATACAATTTTCAGTAATGGTTGCTAGTGCAAACAGACCGCATATGAAAGCATAAACTTCCTGTACTTCAAAGAAGAAAAAACATAAAAATAAGTAATGAAACTTCCTTACTCTGTGGTAGAACCTGTGTGCCTGACACACATCTTGGCACAGGAGAACATCTGGTCAACAGATTTGTTAGGAAGTTGACAATGTCACTCACTCTCTTATGGTACAGATGAATATGTGACTTGCCCATTTCAGCCTGTAAAAGAATGGTAAGGTTGGATGATAATACAGAGGCAGGAAGTGAGGCAGGAAGCAGATCATTAATATGTTTCATGAGGTAATAGCTGTAAAAGACTGTGGAAGCTATGAAAAACTATGGTCAGAATCCTACAAGATAGGTGGTGCCATCCAAATTAGTTACTTACTACTTCTATAGAATGTCACGCATGAATTACATAGTGAAATAAGTGTTTCAGAATGTTACAGTTCCAAGTAGAAAAACTGTTCATACTAACTGTAAATAAAGTAAGTCAAAAAGCATCCACTGACAAAAAAACTAGACGAAATCTGTTAAGCTTGAACATTCGCGTAGATTCTAAAGGGTTCTGACGATGATGGATGACACACACGACTTCCTCCATTGTCCGGAATTCCAGATGACAGAAAAAGTCCAAAAACCCAGTAATTCTGTTGATACATTCACCTTGATGAAACTACATTTTTGTACTCTTCAAATACTGTCAATGATGATCAAATCAAGAAGATGGGCAGGGCACACTGTGTGCATGGGATACCTAGATACAGGAAGGAGGATCTTAAAGTTACAGAGTGTAATTCATCCGACTTAGGATAGGAACCCATGGTGGGCTCTTGTGAACATGGTATCAAATCTGAGGGTACCAGTAAAAGCAGGAAATTTCCTGAGTGACTATTAACTTTTCAAAGACTGTGCTCCATAGAGTCAATTGTGATGTTCTCTGAAGTGTACACAATCTTAATGGCACTGTGAAAACTGACCTAGTTATGAAACACAGACTAGAGATATGAGAATGACTGAAAATGGTAGAACCCTAAATTTAGTGCAAGAGACTTTATTAAAAGTGTAAGATTAATAAAGGGCCAATCCAATGTGAAGCACAATAGATCATTGAAGGTCACAATGTGGGGGCCGGTTTTTATGGTCCAACCCTTACATACATAGTGCAAGAGAAGTAAAGCAGAACCATGATATAGTGACGATGGCTTATAACAAGAAAAGACATCATCATATTCATATGTTCATTTTATATATATGGAAAAATATCATAAAATGATATTTTTTCCAGCACTATAATCACAAAAAGTGATTTACAGCCACCCAAAATTTTCTGCATGAACTGTGATCACACTTCTGCCCCCCAAGGTATTTACAGTCTGCAGCCCATAATACTACCATTAAACCACAACCTGCACCTCTCCCTTTGTTCTGGACAGAAAAGACTGGATTCCAAACTGTAGTTCTAAATGGAGATTTCATGACACCCTGAAGTTCTTAGCATGCATCAAATTGTAAACAAGATAACAGGCATGGAGATGTGAGGAAGAATGTGGGTGGAGGCAGACGGGCTTTTTAAAGCATCCTAGAATGTGAATGGAAGGACTAAGGAAGACCACACAAAGAATGTAATCACTGACATCGTCACTTCCAGTTTATCAGCTTCTTACAATGGACATATGAAAAGAAAGGGACACACATTGGGCAATGTTACAGAACTGTCCAAAATCAACAATGTAATGGCACATTGCAATGTTCATTTAATCAGTAACAAAGCACAAGTGAAATATGTGGTAGAATCATTAAGTTTGTGGAATGTGGTTTTATGGCATCATATTACAAGATATTCACATATACTTATGCAGATCCACATTGGCCCTCAAAATAGTTGCCGTTGGCCGCTATGCAAGTCTGCAAACGTTGATATAGCTGTCAAAAACAATGCTGAAACATATTGGCAGTAAATTCTCGCATGATGCTTTGCGGCCATTCCACGAACTTATTGACTGTGATAGTATAAAGATCAGTAATGTTTCCAATCTCATAAACCATAAAAAGAAAGTTCACCATCTCTCAGTCTTTAATTTGCAACACCACATTATTCATACATGTTTCTTATAAGAGAACAACAGAAAAACAACTGCTACAAAAAGTGATATAAAAATACTCTTGGAATCCTTATAAAAAGCTAATATAACAATTTCCAATAATCACATACTTTAATTTATGTTTGTATATGGAGGGATGTATGGAACATTGTTCCACTCCCACGATTGAGAATCACTACATGAACCATTCGCTTTCAGTGTAAAACATCCATCAAGCTTTATAAATATATTGTACTCTTTCAATGTTATTTTGAACTATTTCTACAATTTTACTTTACCAATATAAATGGAATTAACTCTTAAGAGATTCTCTCCTTAACGCAATAGTTGGCCTATTATATATTCTTCTAAAATTACGCTCCTATTCTTTCAAACAGGACATTTGATAACAGTTATATGAAATCTCAGCATTTTCATCAAAATTTTAAGTTTTTTTTGTAGGTATGTGCTGAAATCAACCCAGAACAAGTCACAATGGCAGAACTATTATGTGAACAAGTTTCAAGAGAAACTGGGGTGTATCAGGTAGCTCTGATAATCACATTCTCTCTCTCAGATATCACAACTATGTGGAGCTGTAATAATGGATAGATGTAAAACAAATACAAATATAACACTTGAGGTTTTCATGGCAGTCACTATGAAGAATCTCGTCTTCTGGGATGTGGCGCTGTGCAGATCTTGTGTGAACTGACATTTTGATGGAATGTAGGGCCTCCATCTTCAGGGTAGAAAAATCCACAAGAGAGGAGGAACCAATGTGAAGATGGATGCAATACGTTCCTCAATACTCTCTGACGTTATTAAATTCTGGAATGGGTACCCAATGACTATTGCAAGTAAGAGCCATGAAAGAAAGTATTTCTGCCTAAAATCTATTACTTACAGTGAGATGGTTTCAATATCAAATGTGTTAAGCTGCATATTTCAGCTCAGGATGTCTTTGCTAGCTTGACTGATGGAGGTCCACAGAACTTATTCCCTTTATCCTGACTGCTGATCAAATTTCTTTCCCTTCAATTCATTTCCTTCTGTTCTAGAACATAGTGGCACAAACTACCACAATGTAAAATTAGTCTGTAGGATTTGAGGTTCTCACAGCCATGATATAATGCTGCAGAGTATACAGAAAATCAATGGACATTTTGGAGGAACATGCTGGCTCCACATTGAGGGTCAAAGAATAAAGCAAGCAAGAAACAAGTGTGATGGAAGGTGGCAAGCAGAGCAAGGCTCTTTATATTAATCTGGTTATCTGGTTTGAGCTTTTTAAGAGAAAGGTTCTGGCTGCAATGACCAATCGTGTTAGATTCAGAATTGGAGACACTTTCCTTGGCATGGTATGTTACTTTGATTATTTTAAAATTATTTTTGAGTTTAACTGTAACAGCAGCCTGATAACAAGAATAATATTTATTTAGATGGACATGCCCTATATCAATGTATTTTGATCTAAAGGATAAAATGGAAATGATTATTAAGTATATTGATTTGTAATGCTGTTCTGTAGTAGACTGTTACATTCTAGTGTATGTTTATTCATCTCCACATTTCATTCACATTGTAAAGAATAAAAGATGTGAATGCTGTATGGCAAGGCTTCTTGAAAAGTTTCTCTAAGTCTTGAGACAAATTTTCTTATCATTTTTCAGCAGCTCTTCTTATATTGGTGTTGTGGGCTTGTACTACATGGCTGCAATCCTATACTCATATTTAGTTTAAACAAATACAACATCAAACTGACAGATGAATATCTTCTTTGGTTAGCTGTGGAAAAATGTCTAGTATGTTGCCATTCAGAAGCTGCTATTGGTTAAAGTAATCATATTGTAACGTGCGTAGGCACGTCACCGCTGGCCGGGGGGGGGTCATCCATAGCGCAACACGTCACACTATTTCCCTCATATATTGCTTTAAATTGTAAACTAATAATATTCTTCTTTATAGTTTGTTTCATATGCAAAAAGTTACATATTTCAAATTATGTAGCCACAGAATGTGTTTCTAACTTTCTAGTACATCCATGAAAATTTACACTTCAGAGCTGCTGCTCTGTGGACTGTATGTAATTGTATGAGTCCAAACTGCTAAATCATCTTTGTGTACATATACATACCTGAAAAAAGGCCACAGACTGCTCATTAAAAAAAAGTACGAGCACCATACACTCCATCAGGAGGGGGGGGGGGCGGCAAGATGGCTCCTTGAGAGATGTGCCACCATGTCATGGAATTACAAAACAGATGCAAAAGCTGTATCAAATCATTTTATATCACAGTGAGAGTTACCTCTGATCACTTGATAGCAGTCTCCCAGTCTCAATGATGGAACAAACGAAGATTGGTGTGGACCAATGTTATGCCATGATCATCACATGCTCTAATGACATCTTCATCGTTTGTTGAACCAGCAGGACTGGCGATGTACTGAACACCACTCTGAAACATCATATTTAACCAAATATGACAATGCCTCCCCCCCACAAAAAACATACTATAAAATCAATTCTAACACATTCACTTGGGATTTAAATTTAGAATCCTTGTTATCTGACAGGATCTTTGACAGTATACCAGAATTCTCACACCATGTTGAGTAAAAATCATATTTTGTGCATTTCTGGAGAAGGGCGTTTTGTACTGCCTTCAGCTCACCTTCAGTGCATGGAAATGTGTGTAGTACTCTTCTGGACAGAGACAACTCTACATACAGCACAAATATGCTGTGTTTACATCTTGAAACTAAATAACTCAGTGGCAGCAGACTCAAAGGGTTTAAAGCTGCTAATACCAAAAGACTGCCACTGGGCAAAATCCTGAGCCAGCTTTGCCCAGCTCTTAGCTTCACACCCTATCTATGACCTGGGTGGTGAACTTTGTTAAACACTTACAAGGGCCCAATAACATGTATTTATGAAAGTGGTAATAAACCTTGATGTCCCATAAAAGAAGGGAATTTCCTGACCAGTGCAGCCGTCCTCCTCAATGTTGTGTTCAGCCTGCTCGTTTAGCTTTGCTTTACGTTGAATATAAGATGCATATTTTACACATATGTTCCAATTGAACAACTGAGGTGCACCTTAAATTCAAGGAATGTGCACCTTTCTAACTTTTCTTTTCTAAAACCCACATTCAAGACTGGATGTGTTGTAAGTTGAAGGGTACCTTATATTTGAAGCGAAGCACAATAGACCACTGTAGGTTGTGGTGCAAGGGCCAAGAAGGCCCACCCCTTATACATTCATTCATTCATTATATCTGAAGTAATACAGCACATATAATGAGACTTCTACTTACATTTTACAATGTTACAAACATTTTAAAATATCCGATCAATGTGGAAAGAGGGGGGGGAGCCACTTATTGGAATGGCTTGCTGTTGTGACTATCAGCTTGACTGGCAACAGTGAAGCTGAACACAATGTTTCAAAATCAGTGACTAATAAACAGTGCATTAACTACTACGCATTTCTTTCTAGTCGAGTTTTCTGTTTTGCGTTTGCAATATTTTACAAGGAGATTAATATTTTCGCGGCTACTGGTAACATTACTAGCACATTTGGCATCCACATACCATAGCAGAGAAGAGCAGACATAAATGTTTAACCCAGCTCCCAAACATTATATGTTACAGAGCACTGTAACCCTTTATTTATACAAATATGATAACCTTTCACCATATTACTCAATTTCCTGGACTTACTCATAAATCACCCACCTGTCTGGCACGATCCACATTATCTCTGAAAGGGAAAAAGGCATCAGATCCAAGAGCCACACCCGACAGCTTGCCCTTCCATTCAGCACGGTCCTTGTCTGTTAGCAGACTGGGAATGGTCTCATACATGGCTCCCCATGTTGTTTCATCCATGTCCTTCCCAACAGTCCCATTCACATAGTTATCAATGGCATTTGAGATCTCTGCTCGTTTCACACCCTTCTTGAATTTCATGTTGATCACATTGGGATGCTGCCGCAGCCACCTATAAAGATGCGGTGACAATGTTAAAATGGGAAGTCTATATCAAGATTGAACAACTACTCTCTCACAAGAGTCCACTGTATGAAAACAGAATTAACTAAGTACAGAAATCCATCACCAAGAGAAGAGATTACATTAGTGAAAATTATTAGTCAGCAAAACAAAGGCCTTATGGCAAACTGGGGGTTAGAAGAATCACAGGTGCTGTTTACACTCAAAAGGGACTGATGTATTTAAGAGAGACTATGTTAGCCCATGAATCCATTTATAACTAGAAAATACAGTAACCACAAAAGAACGAGTAAGGCTTATAATGAGAACTTTATTATAATGAGGAAAATCATTTTAACTATATATTGGTATATATGGGAAAATCTTAAGATAAAATAGGGATTTCTCTTTCATTTCTATTACACTGACAGATTTATAACTAGCCATGACTATTCCCGTAATATTTTTCATAGACTGCACTTGCACTTTTGCTTACCAATGTATTTACTTACAGCTGGCAGTCCATGAAGTCACCAGATAACATTAACCCACACTCTGGTCTTGTCCCTTGTCTCTATGAAGAAGTCTCCATTCCAGAAACTGAGTAATGTATATTTAAACATGAAATTTACTTGACCTTGAGGCTTAAGTGCTTGAGCTTTCTTAATGTGGAACTGAGAACACCCTGGCACACACCCTAAAATGTTACACAGTTGCACTACTTAACCCGGCATTAGTAAGGTGGGTTGTCAGAGACCATAAAGATTTTAATTTGACTGTAACTTTTTAAGAACGCGTGGCAGTGAGTCGTGCCTCAGTGTAGCTTCCCCTCCCATAACCCACTACCCGACGCCATACGCGACAGGCTGTTGCCCACAAGCAAGTTTAGTGTGTAGACGTGTCAAGTGTGCTGGGGTCTACAAGACTCCACCTTACCAAAAGTGTGACTATATTTACTTCCGAAACTTAAGTTGTTTTCATGTATATTCTACTACAATGTCATCGTTACTGCTGCGTCTTCTATATTTTTATATACCAACTTCTAGCAAATATGTTTTCATAAATATTTAGGCGGTATTTTGAGAACAATATATTTTTTACTAGACGAGTTACAAGCAGGAAGAACAGAGGTTATGTCAACTTATAGATGACGCTTTGACAGACGAGGAGCTGTTTAGTGGAGATGATGATAGTGAAATTGTTTTAGAATTAGTCAGTAACCATGAGTCTGATATAGAAAAAGACTGTGAGGAAGAATCCACATAGGGGGGGGCCTTTTACTTGGCAAAGGATAAGCAAAATGGAGTTAGGATCTCAAATAAGAACTTGAGCACATAACATACTTAGCCAAGCACCTGATGTTCTGGGCAATGCAAAAACTGCAAAATCAGTTTTAGATTGCTGGGAGATATTTTTTCCTGATGACATGATAGACCTAATTTTGAAGAATACGAATGATGAAATAGAAAGAAAGCAAGTAAATTATGCCAAAAATAATAGTGTTCAAAAGACTGACATGAGTGAAATAAAGGCTATGTTTGGACTTCTATATTTAGCTGGCTTCTATAAGTCACCAGAATCTTGATAATCTATGGGCCATGGATGGTACCGGCGTTGAATTATTTAGAAGCACAATGTCACTTGTTCATTTCCGTTTTCTTCTTGGATGTCTATGATTTGACGACCGAAGTACTAGAACTGACTGAAGATCTTACGACAAATTGGCTCCAATTAGAGAGATTTTTGATAAATTCAATGAAGTATGTGAGTCTGTATATTCTTTAGGAGAAAATGTAACGATTGATGAAAAGATAGAAGCGTTTCTTGGACGATGCAGTGTCCGGCAGTACATTCCAAGCAAACCGGCAAAGTATGGCCTGGAAGTATTTTGCTTTGGTTGATGCCCAGTCCTTTTATACTTCTAAATTTGAAGTTTACGTTGGTGCACAACCTGAAGGCACATACAAAGTTTCAAACACACCTTCTGAAGTTGTTACAAGTATGATTGCACCTATATCTGGATCAGGTCGCAATGTGACTTTAGATAATTGGTTCACAAGTTACCCATTGGCTAAATCCTTGTTAGAAGATCATAAGCTAATTACAGTGGGAACAATCAAGAAAAATAAAAGAGAACTGTCACCTGAGTTCATCAATTACCAAGTGAAGAAGCCCAATGACTATCCTAATGCCTCTGTCAATACATTTTTTTTTATTTGGAGTTTCTCAGTTTGTATTTATCCTTCATACGTAGTAATTTATTTGACTGTGTAAACACCCCACAATTGTGATAATCAATTGAATAGGCATGCAAGTAATTTTTATTAATTTTGGTTGTATAAATACTGTTTTTAGACATTACCTGTTACTTTTAAAATTTGTTTGGGGTACTGTTAAAATGTCTTACATAAGACATCTCAATTTCTGCAAACTTTATGGCTACAGTGTAGCCACACAAACCAATATAATGCACAAAAAATTGGTAAGTTACATATTTCAGCTCTTGCAGTTGAGATAGGACCAATCTCTAATATCAGACTGAAATTCTGGAAAAGAAGTGCAACATATACATATTAATTCATATAATATTCACCAATTGTCAGCCTTGTCACCAGCAAGACGAGTGCAATGGATACGGGACTGCTGACCTGCACCAATACCAATCACTTGCCCGTCTTTTGCATAACATACTGAATTACTCTGTGTGTATTTCAGGGCAATGGTTGCAACTATCAGGTCCCTTACAGCACTCTCTGGCAGCTAAAACATAAACATAAACCTGATATAAAACTACACTTCATACAATGAATTTATGATAGAAAATGATAACTAAGATAATTTCAGTTCCTAAGAAATATTCACTTTTCTTTTTGTGAACTCTATTGTTTTAAAATTATGCAATTAAATGATGCCAAATTTCAACATCAGTTGCAATACCAGCCAAACCACTGTTCCCCACCCTGAGCCAGTTTAATCTGATTCATGGGACCACAACTGGTTTCTGTACTACAGTATTTATTTAATATAACCCTAACCACATATATTATTTTTCCAGTAAGTAACCATTTTCTACTATGTAACCAGTTTCTTAGAGCAGAGTCTTTCTTGAGAAGCTGATACTTGCTCAGCCAGCTAAAAAGGCAACCCAACGGAACTGAACACTGTACAGCGATGTAACGTAATCTTAACCATTTTATTAATAGCTGATGGTAATTTACCCATAAATCCCTTCATTACCTTGTCCACTAATCATGGCAACAGTTAGAATCAAAATGCTTTGGGTCTTATATCAAATTTAATTCACTTGCTTTGCAACAATGACTACAATGGTTCCCCGAAAAGTCTAAAACTTCTTAATGTTAATACCTCCTTCTTCTGCGACACAATGTTACTGAACAGCTGTCTGTCGATGACAGCATTGTTACGCTGCTGTTCCATGGTGAGACCAAAGAGAACCTTATGCTCGATAGAGCATGGCTCATACGCAGGATCTATTTGGAGCACACAGTAACCACCACCCTTTTTCTTCGTGAGCAGCTGCAAAGCTTCTGGCATGTAACCTGGTGCAATGATGCCATCTGACACCTCACGGGAGATGATGCGGGCAGTGGCAGTATCACAGGGATCAGAGAGGGCTATGAAATCTCCAAATGAGGACATTCTATCTGCTCCACGTGCACGAGCATATGCCACAGCAAGAGGAGTTAGATGCTCCAGCAGATCATCCACCATACATACCTTGGCCTGAAACAATGCATACATTCTACCATCTTTGTATTCTCTGCTTGCTGCTAGCAGATAAATGTCTGCTATTATGACCTTCATCAGTTCACTGACCTCTGCTGTCACAGGAAATTGAAGGAGTCCATTTCTGAGGCTAGAGCACTCATAAGGCATGGGGGGAGGGGGAGGCTATGAGAAGAGAAAGGCGACAAGTGATATCCTGTTTCTAAATTTCTTCCATTCTTTCATCTTATTTGTTTCTGTGTGTCTATAATACTTCCTGTATGTGTTTTCTTTCATAAATGCATATTTAGAGGGTAATCATGACTGTGATCAGTGTACAGTCTGTGCTTAATGAACAGTTAGTATATTAGCTGTATATTACTAAAACCATTCTGGAATCTGGTGCACACTAACTGGATACACTTTATGCGAAAGGTACTACGCCATGCATCTGTGACATAAAATTGATGTTTTTCTGACTTGGTACATCAGTTCACTGCTTCCAAACCCGATTTGAATCATGCGACTGCATATCATATCAGTACAGATTCCATCACCTCACTGCAATGACTGATGTTTACAGATGATCATGCAACATTTGCTTACCAAAAAACGGTGGAGTAATTAGTACTCTTGCTTTATATCTTGGAGCTCTCATGTTAACAAATATGCCCCAAAAGAAGTGTTCTGTGGTTTTCTTTAGTCACTCCATGCAAATTCTGAAATAATACTTTCAAATTGGCCATGATTCCTTCCTCCGATACTCTTTGCAAAATATCATTCACTGATCACTGTATCATGCTACACAATAAATGGAGTTGATAAATAAATAAACAAATAATAAACGAATTAACATCATTCTGTTAAGAGTCATATTGCTACTATAAAAACACATTCAAAGAGAAGACAAAAAATTTAACAGCCAATTATTTTCATAGGTCTGATAATTCCAGGGTCACCATGCTTTCTTATTTATTTGTTTATTTATTCTTCGTTTATTTTATGGCAATGAATTTCCTTGATTATACATCAAATGACGAGACTTCCCAATTATGAAGCAAGAAGGATAACCATTCAACTGCAATGTTCAAACACCTAAACAATATATTTTCCACATTGCACCATCCTACAGAAAATTCAGTCATGGATGATATAAATACAAAATATGGGACAGAGTAGTTTTTCAGCAATACATCCCAAAAAGCAAAACAGCCTTGTAATAATACTGCTCAACATTTGTGGGAGCAGGTGAAATCTGCCATCGGTTTATCTACGGAAATATGTAAATGCTACTACTGCTCTCTTACACATGCAACACTGCTCCAATTGTATTTCTTTACTTCAAGTCTTTCTAGATCCAAAGACTTCATGCAAAAACCCATAAAAGTGAAAAATGGGGACACTAAATGTAAGGTGATTGAAGAAAAGACAAGAGCTCTTTGTTGAAATAAAACCTGACAGTTTGTATGGAGAAAAAAAAAGTGTGACATAGGGGAACTGAAGCCAATGAGATTGGCACCATTTGGCAAGAGGGAAATCTGGCTATCCTACATACCTGAACTTGCAGGTGTCATGTCAGGCAGCTGCGAAGTGGGCCATCAGGGACTTGGTAAACTTATGCCAACAAGGCTATTAGAAATTGTGCCTGGACAAAACCATGAGCATAGTTTCCTTATGGAACCCTCTGCCAAATGAATCAGGGAATTATTACAGCTAAACAGGAACAACTTGATCCAAGTCACACGACTACTTACAGAGCACTGTCACTGAAAAGGACACTTATTCAAACTGGGGCTAACAAATACACCGTGTTCAAACGCAGGCTGACTGAACACTGATTTTGCCATTGGCAACTTCCTGCGAAAGCAATGGTTACTTGCTGAGAAAAATGCTGCTGTGTGGCTGGTACAGGTAGCATACATTGTTTACATCTTTCATTAATTATTAATGAAATATAGTAATTAATATTGTACTCACAATCATAGAAGATATTGAATATCTTCTGCTGTGAGACATGCCTGAATTCTTTTAAACAGATTTTGGGAAACTTGTTGCAATTCACATTGCTGAATGTTGAGAATTGCTACATGAATATTCTGTTTTAGAGCCTCCAGGTCAGGTGGATTGTTGGCATACACAACATTTTTTAGTTTTCCCCACAAATAAAAATCACAGGGGTTTAGATCTGGGGATATAGGAGGCCATAAACTCTTGCTAATAATTCTATCATTCCCATTTGATTCCCCAAACACACCGCGTAATGCTCGGATAGTTTCCTTAGCTGTGTGTGGAGTTGCGCTATCTTGCGTAAAATAACCAAATCTATAGTCTGCAGGTGCTAAATTAGCGAAAAATGGATTGAGTATTTCATTGATGTATTGTTGAGCATCAAGAGTTCCTTCATAAAATATCAGTCCAATGATATGGTTTGTGCTAATTGCGCACAATAGGCCTATCTTTTGGCTGTAATGGGGAAGTTCAATTAGGGCATGAATATTTTCACTACTCCAATATCTGTTGTTTGGTGAGTTAACATATCCCATTCTGTGGGATTCTAGTGGGATTTGTGGTGGACAAAGTGGTGCTGGAGCAGGTTTTCTCCGAGTATTTTGGTTTCCCTTGCTAATCTTCATTCCACCAACTGCTCCACAATCACCCTCACCTATCATCTGGGGCTGGTACAATAGGCCAGAAGTGGCAGCAGTACAAGGGACTTAGTCCCACCCCACTAGCAATAAAAAAATAATAAAAAATAACATATTATTATTATTATTATTGGAGGGGGTGGGTTTCCCCATGCACCGCAACTAATAGTCTACTGTATGTCCCCCTTTGATATTCTACCAGTCGCCATACCCTGCAGGTACTGGTGCTCATNGAGTTCCTTCATAAAATATCAGTCCAATGATATGGTTTGTGCTAATTGCGCACAATAGGCCTATCTTTTGGCTGTAATGGGGAAGTTCAATTAGGGCATGAATATTTTCACTACTCCAATATCTGTTGTTTGGTGAGTTAACATATCCCATTCTGTGGGATTCAAGTGGGATTTGTGGTGGACAAAGTGGTGCTGGAGCAGGTTTTCTCCGAGTATTTTGGTTTCCCTTGCTAATCTTCATTCCACCAACTGCTCCACAATCACCCTCACCTATCATCTGGGGCTGGTACAATAGGCCAGAAGTGGCAGCAGTACAAGGGACTTAGTCCCACCCCACTAGCAATAAAAAAATAATAAAAAATAACATATTATTATTATTATTATTGGAGGGGGTGGGTTTCCCCATGCACCGCAACTAATAGTCTACTGTATGTCCCCCTTTGATATTCTACCAGTCGCCATACCCTGCAGGTACTGGTGCTCATTATCAGCCCCGTTCAGCCAGCGAGGCTGGCAGTGGTACCCGATAACTTCCCCATCTACCGGAGGCAAAAATAACATATCCCAGGAGATTAAAATTAGCCGTATCTGTGAAAATTTCAGCTTAGGATCAAGAAGTCTGTCCTGCACATGACTGATAAACCAATTACAAAACCTCACTCTTTTTTCGTAATCCATAGGTTTAATTTCAGGAACAATGGTATTATACAGATGAATGTGCAACAGTTTAGTTGCTGTCCATTCACTGCCTACAGAAACACCACTTTGTTGTGCTAATTGCCACAAAGAATTTCAAGGAAAATTTTCTAATTGATGACAGATGTCATCAGGTTTTCCTCAGTCATAGCACAATTTCTTTTTAATGGCTTTCTGTCATGCAAACTGTATCTCCAGATGGACATGTGTCAGGGAATTTACTGCAAAATTTTCTCCTGTACGATTTGTACAAGTTTTCTTTTCTAGATAGCAATCATAAACGAAAACTCTTTGCTCTAAATTGTATCTCGCACAAGCCATAAAGACAAAGAACAGAGCACAACAGAAAGAAGCTTCTACAACACATGATGGTGTAACAATGACTAACTCACTGATCAGGTGATCACTGAACCTTCAGTTTGCCATGGGATACCACAGTGACTGCCAATAAGATGTTCTGAGAAGCTCCCCGGACATCTAATAAGCCCGCACAATGAACAGTCGGTAGTTATAACCGATTGTGATTAAGAGAGACTGTAAATGAACGTGTTAATAAATCCAATCATCCAATTGAGAATCCATTATTATTAGTCACGGAGCCATAACCCTGTGACAATAGGTACCAAAATTTCTGAGGAATTTGTTGCCTTATCTTCATTCTCCTACACTCAAGAGGGAAACAGCAGGTTCCTCCAAAACAGTGGTAACAATCTACCAAACTACACAGTGCTCAAATCGCTTAAGTCAATGGCAAGAGAACTTGCCTGTTCAGGACTGAGAGAGATAGCTACAGCTGCCCCTGCAGGGCTCACATGCTTGAACGACGTTGCTGCTGGTAGGTTCAGTGCAGCTCTTAGCTCCTTCACAAGCTGCCATCCGTTCAGGGCATCACACAAGTTGATGAACCCAGGAGAGCCATTCACAACTGAAAATGTTTACATAACATAAAAATAACCCCTTGTGATCAAGTGTTAACGGATGATGGAAGGTGCACGTGTGAAATTAAATCTAGGATTGTCATGGCGAAAGCTGCATTTAGCAAGAAGAAGAATCTTTTTACCAGCAAATTGGACTTAAATTTGAGAAAGAAACTAGTGAAATGCTACATTTGGAGCATCGCTTTGTATGGGGCTGAAACTTGGACACTTACGGCAGTAGATCAGAAACACCCGGAAAGCTTCGAAATGTGGTGTTGGAGAAGGATGGAGAAGATCAGTTGGACCGATTATGTGAGAAATGAAGAAGTGTTAGTTAGAGCAGAGAGCAGAGGAATATCCTACACGAAATAAGAAAATGGAAGGCTAATTTGATTGGTCATATCTTACGTGGTAACTGCCTTCTAAAAGAAGTTACTGAAGGGAAGATAGAGGGGCGGATAGAAGTGACCAGAAGACGAGGAAGAAGACATAAGAAGATGCTGAATGACCTTGAGGACAGAAGAGGATATTTTCATTTGAAGGAGAAAGCTCTAGATTGCATCACGTGGAGGAACTATTCTGGAAGAGACTGTGGACCTGTCGTCTTGACAGATTATAGATGAATGAATGTGATCAAGAATTTTGAGATGGGTGGGGCATACAGCATGCACTTGAACAATGAGAAATGCATACAAAATTTTAGTTGCAAAATATGAAGAAAACAAACAGGAAAGGATGAGAACTAGGATGTGAAATGTATTCAGAGGATGTACAGGACGGGGTCCTGTGGCAGGTTCTTTATCTACATGATAATGAACATTTGGGTTCCATAAACGGCAGAGAATTTCTCAACTAGGTTAGCCACTATTAGCTGCTTCTCATGAAGGACTCTGCTCCACGGAGCTACACAGCGAATCTTCAGTTCCTTCCTCTAAATGGCACATTGCATGGGTAGGCAACCATCTGTAACTCTGTTATCACACTGCTGTTGTGACAGCCTTGACATTCCGAATTTGTTTAGATCAATTTCTTTCCTACATTATCAAATACTGGTGTAATGCCTTCTGCAAGAGTTGTTGAGGAGCTTTTGGGAATACAAAAAGTACTGTGCATGAAAATTTGACCAAGTATTTGGCCAAATGGTAGGTCTGTGCGGTTTGTACTGCAAGTGCTGTCAGGTGATGAAAAACATGTCAGAGTGGAAAACTGCAAAGACATGTTACAGTTGGCCAAAAGTTTTACAAATTCGATTGTTACTGGTGACGAGACATGGTGTTTTCAATATGAGCCTCTCACAAAGCGGCAGAGAGCAGCGTGGTTGAGCCCAAAGAAGCCGAAACCAAAGAAAGTGCACATGCAAAAGAGTCGAGTAAAGACACTGCTAACCGTTTTCTTCGATTCCAAAGGAATCATTCACAAGGAATTTCTTCCAGGTCAAACAGTGAATTCTGATTATCTCGAGTCCTCAATCGTTTGTGGGCGAGAATTCTTTGAATTCGACCTGAATATCGAGAACAAGGTTCCTGGTCGCTCCTCCACGACAATGCCCCACCCCACAATTCGAAGATCGTGCGCGATTTTTTGCCCAGAAAAGGGATCACAGTCCTTGACCATCCTCCGTATTCACCAGATTTGGCAGATTTCTGGTTGTTCCCAAAGGTTAAGTTGGTGATGAAAGGAGACCATCACGACACCATCCAGGACATCGAAAGGGAATGTACCGCAGTTTTAAATGCGATTCCACAAAAGGAGTACAGTGACTGTTTTTGAAAACTTTTCAATCAATTCCAGCTATGTATTGATTCAGAAGGTGACTATTTTCAATAAAAAGAGTGAGATTTTGAAAATAATTCACATCTTTTATTTTTAATGAACACAGTCTTAACAGAACCTGGACACACTGTGTATGTTAAAAAAGTTTATATAAATACTGCCCAAACTATGCCACTCCAAAAAGACAACAATAAACTGTATCATTGACAGCTGTCTGACACTAAAATTTCTGTGTGCTTCACTGATACAAACATCATGGACACCCAAACAACTCATGCTATGGAATCATAGAGAATGATGTCTGTAATGAGAATGTTCCTGCCATCTGTTCAAAATCTGAATGTGGTACAGGGAAACCCCCATTTAAGGTTTCTTTTGGGACTAGCTGCTTTGAAGATAAACTGATTAAAGTCTCAAATGGAGGTAATTTAACAATGAGCTGACTAACTTGGGATCAATGAAATTAAATGTTTAATGATGTAAAACCTAAAACTGTGTTACATTAAATAGGGGTTTCACTGTATTAACATTTTATTGTAATCTATGTGGCCATTAGTGGAAATGAGATCAGGCTCCTCCAATGGGGGGGACTAAGGTGAGCAGGGTGGTAGACTTATTAAATATCTTACAGCGATGTGAAACAGACATCCACATAACCAATAAGGCCTATAGGTCAAGGTAACTGATAGCTTTTTGTTAAGTATACAAATCAGGGTAAAGACAATGAAGTTAAATTCAGACATCTATGCTCTATAAGCTTTAATTTCTCTTGAGGATATTATGATAGTTTTGTAAATCAGACAACAAGGAAGAAACATAGGCTTGTAGTTACAAAGTTGGCACAAAAACTTACCTTTAAGAGGAAGTTCAGAATGGGTTGTGAAGATCTGAGCTTGTTTTTGGTGTGGGTTCATGCCATAGCGAAGAGTTAGTTGTGACACCCCAGCACTGTACTGCTTACGGAAATAATCTGATATTGCCTGGTCATAATCAGAAGTGTGAGTGAATGCCTTAAGAGCGAGGAGCTGCCTACAATGTTGGAAACAAAATTTGTATTAAAATGGTACCAACCAGTACATACCACTATCAGCAGACTTCTTAACAGCTGTCAGCTATTTTTGGAAATATCTAAGCCATCTTGTTCCCATTCATCAGTGTTTGCAAGAACAATACCCATTAAATGTTTTACTTTACCATGTTCATCTTTAGGTTTACCACCATTTAGTGTTACATTTCAATAAGCTCAATGTCAAATTACCTCCATTTAAGATTGTCTTTATAATAGAATGCTTCCAAAAAAAATCTAAAACAGGTGTCAGCAGAAAGAACCAGATGTTTAATGGAGACTGTTACTCTCTACATTCATAAAGTTTGGCCTTTTTCAGACGTGAGGACAAGGCATGTGGAACATAAATGCACTGGTTCCAGCCTGTGTTCAACCCAAGACCTCTACCAGAAAAGTGCTGCACCCCATACAACAGCTAGATCTCCCTGTATATTTACTACTCTGTTCTACACAGACAATTTCTTGTGACAAGTTTCCTCCTTAATATCTTCATTTGATTGACATTTACAGTTCTAACTTCATAACAGAAGGAGAACGAATATGCAAATATCTGTATTTTATCCAACCACTTCGTAGGTAGAAGTCCTTACTAAATGAGGCCAGCTTGACATCAACCATACAGAGTGATCATTTTTAAAATGAGAACCTAAGGTTAGGAATGTTTCACCAAAACGACCCTACCCCTGTTCACATTCCTAATACAGGTTTCTAGTGTAAAAAATATAAGGAACATTTTGCCAAAATGGCATTCGTCCTCTATTACATGAGACCATTAACATTCCTAACAATACATTGTCCTTTAAAAAAAATTGTCCCTACAACCACGCCTTCTTATTGTGATAGCAAAGATCAAAACAGAGAACTGACATCCTACACATTATAATAATTACTGTGGGCAATGTCTCTTGAGCATGGGTAAATATTTTATGTAGAACAAGATCTCACCTTGTAGCCAAGGTGGTATCCCTATCAGGTGAGGTCTGCAGTTCCTTTGCAACCAGGTCATAGTCTGAGGGGTCACAAAGCACTGTGACTCGGGCATGGTTCTTAGCTGCAGCTCTCAGCAATGTCACTCCACCTGCACAGACCAGACACTGGTTAAAAGTTTAATGCTTCTGTCAGGAATATGCACTCTATCATTATCATCATCAGTAATCTGTCAGACNTTCCTTTGCAACCAGGTCATAGTCTGAGGGGTCACAAAGCACTGTGACTCGGGCATGGTTCTTAGCTGCAGCTCTCAGCAATGTCACTCCACCTGCACAGACCAGACACTGGTTAAAAGTTTAATGCTTCTGTCAGGAATATGCACTCTATATACTACACAGAAATAACATATACATTTATTTACACACACATAATACACTTTGCAGCGACGCAGCCTATTGGGTTTACACTACAAGACCACGTTCTACCGAATTAGTTTCAAAAGTACAGGGATTACAGCAAGACACTGAGGTGGAACACAAAATGAGCTGTCTTATAGTGGGCTCAAGTACATTCATTGTTAATCGTTACACTTCAAAATTTCTGGTGTCATCATCATGTAACAAATATTTGATACGAACTCTGTTTCAGAGATACCAGCTGATACTGTCAATTTTCAAACTTAATGTACATAAACAATTGCTGTTTTTTAACTATTAGAGCCATACCACGGTTCAGGTGGTTAGTTGCCACCTTCCATTTGTAGTGGCCTGGGTTCAATCCCAGGCCAGGTCATGTGGGTTTTGTTCTGAACAAAGTAGCACTGAGATATGTTTACTCTGAATACATCAATTTCCCCTGCAAATTTTCATCCCACCATATTCATATTCATTAATCATCATATCATTGATACTACATAGTCTAAATATTGACAACATTATTAAATAACAAACTAAAAAAACTATCAAATAAGTTTTCACTGTGCCAACGGATCTGGCAAGAATCTGTGGAATATACTGTCCTTCAAATACTTCTGCCTATATGATAAGTGTAGAAGGAACAATAATTAATAATTATTCACCTTATTATATTGTGATGTGCATAGCTAGGCAACGGAATGACGAACACCTTCCCGCTGAAGCACATGACAACAATACGCAAGCATCGCCAGGCAATGCCTCCATAAACTCATTATAACATGCAACAGTGGAAGTTGTGTTTTCAGTGGACAAATGTTACAGCTTGTTGCTAGGCAGCAGTCAGCGCACCAATGAGCTGGCTGGACAGCAGTCACGTGGGAAACCCAATAGAGATTTTTAAACAATATAGGCTGTTTTTTCTGTGAATGATCAATGCCAAAGGTTTATAGGGGACAACAAAGTTCATTTGCAATTAGTCAGAGCTGAGAAGCTGCGAGTCAGGGAGAGGAAGTCGTCCTGGAAAGGAGCTGTGAGGATTCAGCTGTAAAGTGTTAATGGAAATGGAAGACTTTATGTGCTATAGTTAGAGTAATCTTGATAGTGTTATAATTAATTGTAGTTATAACTTGTAAATATCCAATAAATCAATTTGCCAACTCAAACCCCATCTGCGATTCACTAATACAAGTGACTATTACATTTATGTTGTAAACAAAGCCAAACCAAAGACAGAATGTTATTATATGAGAATTCTGAAAGCTTTAATTTCTCTTTTGACATCCTGAGATATAAGTTCTGAGGTATTAAGAGCAGTGGTTGTTCAAACTGTGGTCTCCTGGGTTATGACACTGTGTAGTCCTGCAGATGGATACCAGTGTTTTGGAGGCAGCATGTTCCAGGAAAGCAATGATATCCATCTACTAAGAACATATGGTGTCACAGCTCAGAAAATTACTATTTCAATACTGAGATGTTTTGCCTGTGATGAGTGGCAGACATCACACAGAGTGAATATAACAGCCAAGAACTGCTACCTCATGCCCTATTCAGAAGGACTTCAAGTTGGAAGATACCTGTGATTCACAAACCACAAATTCCATTCACCTTCTTCACCACTATCAACACTCCTCTTGTGGGCCCAGCCAGACAAGTGGCTGTATTAGCTATGGTACTGAAGAAGACACTTGATTCAAACCTCATGAAAACAACAGCTTGCATGGAATCATGTGGTATTCTCTGTAAGCTGGAGATAGGCGCTGGTTCAAGCTGTCATACCAAATTATGTTTGGAACTACAGTGTTACAGGATCCAGGATAGATCAGTTGGTATAGTAACAGGTTACAGGCTGGATGACTGACGTTTGTTTCCTAGCAAAGAAAGAGATTTTTCTCTTCTCCACAATATCCAGACCAGCTCTGCAGCCCATCCGCCCTCCTATCCAATGGGTACCAGGGGTTCTTTGCCCAGGAGTACAGCAGTATTAGTGCGAAGCTGACCACTCACCTCCAAGTAGTACTGAGGTCAAGAAAGGTGGAGCTATACCTTTACTCCCCCATACATCTTCATGGTGTAGGGTTTAATTTATAAGAGCAGGAAAAACTTTACCTTTTATTATAAGGTTATTTTCAAAATTACTGCTCGGTAGGCCATGTGCATGAGACATAAAACTAAACTCGGTCCTAAAATTTATCAGAGCCTTGCTATATAGTGACATATCCATAATGGAAGCACTAAAGCAGTTCCTTTAGTAGAAAGCTAAGCATTTTGGTATATCTATCTGTGAAACTCAATAGATGTGTAACATTATGAAATGTGGACAGTCAGACATGATTAATGGTACTGTGGTGAACAACAGGCTTACCCACTCTTCTATCCAATGGAAACTGGAGGCTATTTCATCTTAGTTGAAAGTGTCTAGACCATGAACTTGACCACTAACCTCTACCAGCAATAAGAAACTCTATTTCTCCAAACTTCTTATATACCTTAAATAACCGATGTTCAGGAACAAGTACAATTTTTAATTCTGAACCCAAAATCCCATCCTAAATATGATCATGGCTTTAACAGAGGGGCCTTGAAGTCTTGAATTTAAAACTACTGTTTATTCACTATGACCACAAATAAATTCATGTTGTCAGAATGCAGAGTAACAAGTACACCCTAGTCCCTAAGAAGGGATTGAATTGTTTACAAATGTTAATGTGTCATTTATATAAGTATATACTAGCCTTCTGAACACAGCAATTTGTTGAAGTTCCATTTTATTATGTAAATAATATGGCTAGACACCTCCACTAATGGTACAACATAGGACATTTCCCACTAGGTGCCCTAAAATACATCAGAGGAATAAATATTCTGAATGGAAGTTAAAGGTTAAAGGATGACCTCCACAATTAATGTTTACACACCAATGTCAATGTTCTCCACAGCTTCAGCAACGGTAACATCCGGTTTGGCAACCGTGTCTACAAATGGGTACAAATTGCACACAACTATTCGGATCATACTGTAGCTCATCTTGGCCAGGTCCTTCTCATCATTTTCAGTGAGCCGAGCCAGAATGCCTGCAACACAACATCCCATAGGTGATGATGAAAAATAGCAACCATTTTTTGTTTGTACAGTTTCATCTCCTGCTGCCTGATCAGCGTTTATTACAAAAGAACAAATATCCTTCATGAACTTAAATTATTCGTGAGAAAAATGAGAGTCAATAATCTCCCAGTTATCCAGTATTCAAGCATCTGGAATTCTCAGCCAACTATCATAAAAATTCAGAGAAAATTTACGATATTTTATTAAGTTATTTATATTTATATTTAAAAAACAAGCAGTAGTTGTCCCAGCTGCCACTAACAGCACTGCTCGTTGTCCTCCCTCACACATATGCCATTGCAGTACAGGCTTGTTCAAGTTATAGTGTATGTATTCAAAACCTTTCACCCATCTACCTCCTATATCATCTCAAAAGTCATCCATGCAAATACCTATTATTATTATTATTATTATTATTATTATTATTATTATTATTGGAGGGGGTGAGTTTCCCTATGCACCGTGACTAATTGTACGTCCCCCTTTGATATTCTACCAGTTGCCATACCCTACTGGTACTGGTGAATGCTATCAGCCCCGTTCAGTCAACAAGGTCGGCCCTCGGTACCCGATGCTTCCCCCATCTACCAGAGGCACTGGAAACTACTTGGGCGGGAAACTTGCCTAATTTTGCTCAGAGGTCTCCTAGAGACATGAGGATCTTTTACGTGAGGTAAATCTACGACATGGGACCCATGGCTTAAAGTCCCTCCCGGAGGACTTGTTCCCTGAATTTTTCCGCCCTTAAAAATTCCACGACCTCCGCCGGGTTTGAACCCGCGTACCTTGAGTCATGAGGTGGGAATGTTACCCCTAGACTACAGAGGCCGCTTTTGCAAATACATAAGTGAAAACACGTTTTGATTTTGTACTGGGATTCCTAAGAGTTTTCATCATACAATCAGCAAATTCACATAACTGGCACACTGGTAATCCCATATATGCCAGATAAGGGCGTGTTCACTGTACTACGATGACAAAAAACAAATTTTTAACAAAGTAAATGAAGTCCCACCACTGGATCATATCCTGAGCCTCTTTAATCCAGTTCACAAAACCACAACCCATTCCTCTAAAATCCATTTTAATATTGTCTGCTCTCTATGTCTGGGCATTCTCAGTGATCACTTAAATTTCAATGAACCCGGCCTCTCTACATCAATGTTAATTTCTGTCATCTACAATTTTCAATTTAGAATGCAAATCCATCACTTCTGGAGACCTACTGAATGAAGAGTTCAATTTACTTTTCTTTAATGTCCTCACACACACCCTGAAACCTGGAATTAAATCTGGCATTATATATGCCAATACTTCAAAGAACAAATTGGGCATCAACATGTTTTGGTTTGATTAAATAATCAACCAGAAGTAAACAAGGTGTAAAACTACAAAAATATTTATGAAAACTTCTATTGTTTTCATTTCAGAACTTGTAACTTCATCCCAAAGCAAAATAATATACTAAGCAGATTTATACTAACCACCATTCTACAATGGAGCAGTGTCAGTACCACAATCTGCACAGAGTCCCGATTTCTGTTTCTCCACCTTACACCCCAATTACTCAATTCCGCTCTCACATTATTCTTTGGAAACACATGCAACAGATGAAACTGCACCTACCACATTGTAACGTAACTCTGCTGGTTTTGTTTCTTATTTTAGCAAGTTCAATTATGCAGCATTCTAATAAATATGACAAACCACCGGATAAATTATTTATTTTAAAAGTTTAACAACTCTAAATACTGAATTATGTACAGAATATTTTCTTCAATACAGTCTAACACTCAACCGGGATAGGAAGTTGATGTGATGTGGTTATGCAAATACAGACCTACACATCTACTTTCCCATACATCTCCAAGACATGGTGCTTAACTCAGTAAGCACAGGGATAACTTTGCCTTTTATAGTGTATGTATTGTTTTCAGTTCATTCCTTCTCCTCTACTTCATTACCTCTCATCAGTCTGCCAAGATTTTGTTTTCTATGTATGACTGCCTTGAAAACTGAATCACTAATAAAAATATATAAAGCTCAATCACATTCTGTGCTATAAACTCAATGTAAAACAAATGGGAGACAACTGAAGTAATAAGAGTAAATAACTATACAGTCACTGTTATGAGAATTAGGATCCTCTACATTTAATGAATTTAACCATTTTAAAATCAACATTTTTGGCCTATCTGTTGTGAAGATATCAGATGAGAAACAGAAGACATATTTCACTAGCTACATTATGCTCTTATTACAGACAAATTGTCAAGAGCCAACTATGACAGCTAATTCTTTATTGGAATCCATCGTAACACAACAACATAACAGTCAAGATTAAAATTACCTTAGCTACATGCTTCGGCTTTTAAAGCCATCGTCAGGCAAAACACACGATTACTATATTCAAACACTATTGAACTGCAATTTCATTGTGATAGTAAAGCTGGATACTTGATAACTATTACATTATAAAATACATAGTATAAAAATACAATGAATTATAAACTTATTATAAAACGAAAGTTATGGTGTAAAATATGGTTAAAAATTCTTCATGTGATATTGCATATCATGAAGTCAGTTGTTGCAATCTTGTTATATTCCCGTGGACATAATATGTATTCCCAACAGAGCGGACAAAATACATTGTAAGATGGGGCAATGACCAAACAATTAATGTCAAATAATACTACATCTATACCACAGGCCTCCAAGCAGTTTACTGTATGTCTACAAGTCTAGAATACACCTGTGGGATTGTTGATGTTCTAAAAGACAACCACGTAAAACTGTAACAATTGTATGAATTCAATGTACAGAATAGCTACAAAGCTATATGGAATGTCGATGTTCAAAAGTTGGCTGGCCCTGAAAAGGGCAGTTTGTTCCACCATGAGTGTGCTGGCACAATTTGCTCCTTTGTAGTAGACCAAGTCTTTATGGCCATTCAGCTGGTTTGTCCAGCCGGTGATTTGGTGCTGCGTGTGCTGGTGGGAACAGCTGGCTATGGTGTGGGTGATGACTGAGCCGTTGTCTCAGCTCGGTTGCTGGAGAGCTGCGGCAGCTACTTTAGCTGTCTGGTAGCAAAGCATGGTTGCTGGAGAGTTTCGGCAGCTAGGTTAGCTGTCTGGTAGCAGAGTGCAGTTGCTGGAGAGTTGCAGCAGCTGTCTTTGGCGCAGTTAAGAGATGATGACTCTGATGACTGAATGTGATCATTGACTATGGCTAGTTTTGGGCTCTGCCTTTTATACCATGCTTGCTGGGCAGAGCTACAGTTGCAGTTGCGATTGTGAGTGCTGATTAGCTAGCACACACGATGATGTAAATGTGGGCTGGACAGCGAGTGCTGGCGGCAATGTGATACTGACTAGGAGTTCAGTGCTGTCTGTTAGACCGGCGAAAGCGCGTGTTAGTATATGGGATGTTCCCATATACCATTATGTCAGCGGGAATATAACAAGATTGCAACAACTGAACTTCATGATATACAGTATCGCATGAAGAATTTTTAACCATGTTCTACTCTATAACTTTTGTTTTATAATACATTTATAATTCATTGTATTTTTATACCATGTATTTTATAATGTAACAGTTATCAAGTATCCAGCTTTACTATCACAATGAAACTGCAGTTCAATGGTGTGTGAATATAGTAATCACGTGTTTTTCCTGATGATGGCTTTAAAAGCCAAAACATGTAGCTAAGGTAATTTTAACCTTGATCTTTATGTTGTGTTACGACGGACTCCAATAAAGAATTGTATATAATAACACAACAAGATGCATGAAATGAAAATTATTAAATGAATCTTTATGAGTATCTGATTGTAACTATGTAATATGCAAAATAAGAAAATAAACACAACAGGTCTAAATATAAGTAACAAGTATTCAGACCTTCACATGGAGCAACAGTACATACTGTCCAACTATAATCAAACTTACATTTGATTGCTAACTTATAATACAGATTTGAAATACTGAATTAAGCAGATGGGAGGCAGTGGTGTTAACAGGTACTTATACAAAATTGCAAAATATTAATAAGACAACATACTTAATCTGAGAATTGTCAGTTTCTTAGAAATTACATTCTCATGAGCTCTCCAGCCCAGTCCTGTATTTGAAAGCGTTCACCTGCATGTACAGCCGGGTGCAATGTCTTGACTCTTCCTCCAAGCAATTCTGGAGCTCCTGTGACTTCAGCAACATCTTTCACAGCAAGTTTTGCATCCCTGAGGACCTTGGCAGTTCCACCAGATGCCACCAAAGTAAGGCCAAGTGTATGGAGCTTCTCAGCAAAAGGCAACAGACCTGCCTTATCTGACACACTCAGCAATGCTACAAAAGGATTTAGATCCTCAACAGAATTCAGTGTTCAAAGTGTTAAATATAACTCAAACATCCACATAAAAACATTCCATCTATTGTTTGTTTGTTGCTTAATTCGGTTATTTTATGATACAGTATCAGCTACCAAGGCTATCTTGGTCTATCAGATCTATCTGTGATCTGCATTATCTGCAAAATAGTCTGACACAATTCCAAAAAGGAATATGTTACATGGGGGTAAAGATCTTTAATCATTTGCCACCAAAAATCAAATCTATGTCTAATGACTTGAAAAATTTTAAATTTCAGTTGACAGCATTTTTATTGCAAAACTCTTTTTATACAGGTGATGAATTCTTTAGTAACAAATTTGCCTAGAAATAAGGATAATAACATAAACAATTTTAATATTGCATAATTTTATGTATAGTGATGTATGAATTTAACACATGTTTTTTTAATCTATTTTAATGATTATAAACTGTACATATATATTTATATTTGTACTGTACTATATTAACTATGTGACTGGTTCTATATCTATGTATATGGATTTATGGAATATACAATAAACGAATGAATGAAAGGCACTGGAAGAAATTACACAAGCCTGTGGCAAATGAAGAATGTGGAGGGACTCAGTAGGAAGCCATGCTGTATTACCCTGGCATTCAAATTGTATACCTCCAAAATGCAAACCAGACCATTACTGCTATGCCACCCTCCTAGATATATGTTATGTCAGATCTGTCTGTGTACTTCAGTATTATATCAGGTATCAATTGGTGGAGCAAGCAGCAAATGAAACATAGGCCAGACCAAATAAAGTATTTAAAGCCAGTCCATGTGATTTCTTAAGCAATACAATGCTATTACACTCTCTTCTGTATTAAAGTTTGGATGCAGTGCCATATACAGTACAGAAAAACCTACTTATAACAGAAATTTGAAGGAATGAGAATTAGCATAGTTAAAACAACTCCATGCATTTGGACGTATCCATAAATTTAATTCAAAACCATGAACAAAACAGAACCTCTGAACATGTTGTGCATTTGTCATGTCTATGTCTGTACATGCTAAAGAATGGTCACATACAGTGAGGTAATTTGAGAGCTTGCCATAAATTGTTTGGCCAGTGCAATGGAAGAGAGTATCTCCTTGTCTCTCTTTCTTTGCATGCATGAACCCTTAGCACAACTGGAAAACCCACTGGCCAACAAACCACAATCAAGTGCAAGCTTTAAATCTGAAATCCTGGCCCCTGGCCAAGGAATTTAATAAAATGTCAAAGGGAATGTTCAAGTATATCACTGATTTCATCCAAATTCTCTTCATCTGAGTACTCAAAATTTTTATTTTGTTCATTTTTGTTCAATAATGACCCCGTCTGCCAAAATGTATTTATGAATGTATGAATTGTTTTTTTCTACTGGAACTGTTAACATCCTGAAATTTATGTCACAATATTTTTTTTTTTTTGCTTTTCACAAGGACCTCATACATCATAAGTGAACACTTGTTTCAATGTGTAACTTTCATGTGGAATTTTGACACAAGAAGTAATAGAACCAACTGAATGTTGAATATAGCAGCAGGGGCTTGAAATTATGGCCAACAGATATATGACACATTCGTTCACTTCATAGTAGCTGTTCAAAGATACTGTGATGTGTGTAAGCTACTGGCCTGTCAACTAAGCCAAGTATGAACACACTGTGAAAGTAGATGTAAATAGTGTATGTCCCTTCAGCAGGACTGGCCGGAAGATGTGCAAGCGGCTCTCAAATGACCTCCCTATATATGGTCAATGCAATGCAAACCTGTTCCAGTTCATTTTAGGCTTTGTTGAATGAAGGATTTGAATAAAGTGCTGATATTCTTCATACAAAATGTTCAACTATTTCGCTAATTGAAAAGTATTGAGCCACAGTCCTATTTCATGACACCTAACATTTTCACTGCATTTGTTAACCACATAACTATACAGACTTTAATTACTGTCATCAATACTGCAATTAATTTTATAATCTGTAACAGCAGTACACATGCACCACTGAATACACCTTTTTTTCTAAATTTTTTTAATACTTGGGTTTAAAATTTCAACATCATGAAAATAAATTATGAGCTGAAAGACTCCATGGCATAAGGTTGCGGTCATAAACCCTGTAATACCAAGGAATTTCCCCTTAGTGAATATCTGCCACTCAATTTAACCAGTCTAAATTGATGTTTGCTAAGCATTTTAAAAAATAACAGCATAGAGGAAGACTCTTTGTTCTCATAATTCACCTGATACAAACAAAAAACCTACAGGTACATCAGAACTAGGGAGTACCACTACACTCACGCAAAGCTTCAACCCCTCCCAAACCTCCAATGCATGCAACATGTTTGACTTAGGTGAAGTGAAGGTTACAAGAACCCTAATTCAGTGGAAAGTTAGAAAGTTAAGGTACCATGGCTCTTCTTCATGAAGCTCAAGAAATCACTAAAATGTCATACCTGCTGTTATTTAAGGCCAAAAAAATGCAGAAAAGCACTATTCCCTACCCACTCCTGTCACAGAGATTAAGTCTTGAATGGTATGTAGAATTCATTATTCTCCTGCTGATCCCACTGCTGTCTCAACATTAAGTTCTGATAGAGTTATTCAACTTATTCAATACTTATATTACAACCCTCCTGGCAGGAGGCGAAATAGCATAAATCAAACGCAATTTTTCCCTTTCCTCTCTCATATTCCTAGTCTGCACACTTTATAAAATGATTTATTAATAATCAGTTTTAATGTTATATTTTAGCGTCCTGTTGCACTGATTCAAGTCAATGATTTATTTCACCGTCTTCTAGTGCATACAATTATCTACTTCACTCCTCTCACTCGCACTACATGTTTCGGCACAAAAGTGCCATCCTCAGGTGCTTATTTGCTTAACGTTAAACTAGTTCATTACATGCCTTGTCGTCTTCATATTAACACAACAAAAAGCACAATAAACACATGAAAATAGAAAGAGTGCTCCAACAGAAGAGGATAAACGTGACTTGAGTAGTGAATACGACGTAGGAAAAATCCTGAACAATTTTATATTTTAATATTTAATTTTTAACATTTATCAATATATATGATAAATATATATTTTAATTATTTTAATATGAAGACGACAAGGCATGTAATGAACTAGTTTAACGTTAAGCAAATAAGCACCTGAGGATGGCACTTTTGTGCCGAAACATGTAGTGCGAGTGAGAGGAGTGAAGTAGATAAGTGTATGCACTAGAAGACGGTGAAATAAATCATGGCCAATAATCAGTTTGCCTCTTGTCTTGTCTCTTCAGTTTACAAACTAACAATATTCCACACAAAAATCTGAGGGGTCGCATTGTGGGCTGTCTCAATTTTGTATGGAACGACCTTAAATTAAGAGCACAAAGGCTGATGGGTGTACAGAAATCGTAAATATAACTTGGGTACGTAACAACATTAAGCTTTCCTTCTAAACACAAGAAGTAATATGCCAAAGGTACTGTCATGCCAGCGAATATATTTAGGCCTATGATTTCTGTAACTTGATTTTTAAATGGCGCCAAAAAACGGATGGAAGGAATGAAAAGTTTGCGAAAACAGTCACGTACTCGGTAATTATTTTAAGGGAAGTCTTTGGGTATGAGTCAAACTCTGTCATGCAGACAACACGTGATGACACTCTGTACTACTCGTACTACTTGTTGATCCTCTTAATACAAAAGGCTCCAGCATTTTACATAATTTTTTAAACACGTGGTATTAAACTAAACTTACCCAAACTACCGCCTGCTGCCATTTTCAAATCAGGAAGTGTACACGTAGTAATGAATCCTTTGAAATATACAATAACGGATAACTTAAGGAAATAATTATATATTTGCTTCTGTAGTCTTTATAAACGCAAACCAAAATTTCTGTTGCGGTGCCGGCAGCACTCGAATAACCTCCGTTTACGTACACTATAGCGTTGATATCGCTTGTAATTGCTGAAACCTCGCGCAAGGAATTATTTTTCTGATGTTCAAGAACTTCAAGAAAGTCGCTAATGACGTTATTTCACTGCTTTCGATTCACTCTGATATTTCAGGGTCAAAAGTCAAAAGATTATCTTCACCGTACCACTTCCCAGGGTCCCGCTGTTACGCGGCGAGCTGCAGGACCTGCACGACGAAAGGGCAGACTCTTCGAGAGTGATGTTCTCTGACACATCCAATTCCATTACCGGGCAGTTCAAATTGCTATAGAGACTACTCGCTCAAATAATAATAATAATAATAATAAAGGGGTAAAAAATACACGTTGACATATTGGCAGTCATGAAATCCGTTCATTGTCCACAACTGGAAGAACAATGCAAACGTTAATAAATTCCGTTAACAAGGTACAAACGAAAATATTTTATATTCTTCCTTCGACGATTCCGCTTTTGTATGCATATGTTTATATGAACGTATGTTAAGAAACTATTAATTGTAGATGGTTAATTAAACCCGGTTCAAAACCAATTACACGAAATGCCCGTGACCTCTCGAATTCCCCATTATAGTGCATGAACATTTTCTCGAAAATGAGAAATAACTTTTTGTCCAAACGATGTGATTAAATGAACTAATTATTGGGAATTTAATTATATTATAATTTTAAATTATTATTACAACACTATACAGGAAGACCACACTAGTAACACATTTATGGGAGAAACACGACGGCTGTAAGAGAGTACAATAACAGCGTTTTAGTACTGAGATAAAAACTAAGTGAACAGTGCAGTGGCCTCCTTGAAAACAAAAGAAAAGTTGCCTGTTGATGGCCCATGTGCAGCCAAAATACGCTGTAAAGTGAGAAGAAACATATAAAACTAGAGACATTTTAATAATTTGATGATCACTTTTAGTGTATAAGCTATACTTCTAGTGTCTTAATGACATCTTATGATTTTAACGTTGTAAAGTATTCAAGTGGCACTTTTAGTGTGGAACACATTTTAGACGTCTTTCATATTTAAAAAAAATACTGTTGCATTATTGATGGGTGCTTTAGTAATAAGGATCATGCCTCAATGCAACTGGATGCTCAAATATAATATTAACATGGCCTGTAACCAAAATGGGGTTCTAAGAATCCTCAGTGAAGGGTTACTGCTACAAAAGGTAAGGGAAGAGAAAGGAATGTGAGAAATCTCATTAAGTTTAATTTTTCTAGGTTTAATTTACAACATTGTCAGTATCTACATTATACAGCATGAATTAGTAGGATGAATGAGACACTGGGAAGGCTCTGAAACAAGTGATCATGGCCAGATCAAGATGCTATCCCGGAATTTGCCTGGAGGGTTTGAGGAAAACCACAAAACTGCAATTAGGATAGCCAGTGTCCCAGCCAAGATTTGAATCAAGAACCTCCAAAATACGAGTTCTAGAGCATTACTTGTATACCAACCAACTGGGTCACAAGTTACTTACCAATGGTAACCAGTATATTTGAACTGTGAAGTGTATATTTTAAGCAGTTACAGAATGCCTTTCAGTTACACACTATAATTTTCAAAATTTGCAGATGGGTCTGCAAAAAACCATAAAATGGAGAAACGTGAACTACATGTCATAATGAATTCTGAACACCTAAAACCTGCCAGATCACTTCAACATAGAATGCACTATAATATACATTTGAAAAATGACATAATGCACTTTATATATGCATAGAGCATACATTTCTGTAACAGGTAAATGGATAACTCAACTTCTACTGTTTGAGGGCCTAATGGACTTCGTGCATCCTCTTCCCAATTGTTTCCTACATCTGGTGCTTCAACTAAGTAAATTCATAAACCATAAATTTTCAAAAGGAAGCGAACTAGTTTGAATGGCTCTATTTACGTATGTAAACCAAAGGTCAGATAAGTTACAGAAGTTACTGAACTATCATGAATGTCTAACAACATAAGAAAACATGATGTCATGATATCACTTAATTGGGAAGAGAATGGCTTGTTTTAATCTTCATGGGTCATAGACATTATAAGTTATCCAACTGGTACTGCTCACATATCTCTGGCTTCATGCAAGATATAATTTATGACTGGAAAACAAGTTGAAACCAAATGAAATGCTGAGCAATGACATTTCTCATACTTCACACCTTCCAGGCTGTTGCATTGGGTTACATGTAGTTTGTGTTCTTGCTACATTTGGAGGTCCCGGATCAACACCTGGCAATTTATTTTGCACACTGTTTGGTTACAGGTGTGAAACATGGTCTCTTACTTAGGAGGAAGAATATAAATTTCATGTACAGATGGTACCTGTGCTGGATTACATTTTGTGAAATGAGGTATGAAAGGTAATCAAAATATATGGTTGAGCTAAGCCAATGTCTTCCATGAAACAAGAATTCCAGTTATAAAATTAACTCCATGGACCACAGTCCTCTGTGAGAAGCTGACAGTCACTCAGCTAATCAAAAAATTCTTCAAAAAGCTCAATAAGTTGTTTACAAGTTAAGCAGTAAAAAAAAAGATAGTTCTTTTACATCTGAACTCATGTATTTATTACTTCTGTTTTCATAACATGTCCACGTTGTTTCTTGGGTGCAACACTGTCACCAAACATCACAGTCAAATTGGTAGCACTCCTGCTCTGTATTTTGAAGGTTCCAGGTTCAAATCTTGAGCTAAAAACCGGCCATCCTGATTGAAGTTGTTTTTGCTTTCCCTCAATTCCTCCAGGCAAATGCCAGGATTGTACCACAACTCTTTCCTTCCACATTCTTTCCAATTCATGATTCTACAATTTGACACTCTATAATTTGAGTTATTAAGAGTTCAATTAAATAACCTACACACAAATAAACAAATACAATGTTTTGTATGTCACATCCACATGCCTGCAAGTTCATACCACAAATCACAAAATAAAAATTCCCACTAAACCAAGCAAAATTTTTTTTCCACGCACACTGCCCACTTATTTTCCTAATTTCATACTTCCTGCTACCCTTTTCTAAGAAAATTTTCATAGATCAATAATTCATAGTCAGTAATTTCATGGACTGTGATTCCATTGCACCATTTTACAAGATCCTCACATACACTTACACATGTACATATCCTCCATCAAAATAGTTGCTGTTTGTCTCCTATTATGTTCTAGTTGAGAAACATCCCATCTTTCTCAGAACTTGCCCTTTGCTTAAATTGTGACATTCTCCATTTGTGCCACGTGTAGACAACTACCCTTCACAAGAGTGACTTTCTTTCTGAATACACCATATGTACGCAACTTTCTTGCTGGGACAAGAGAAGAATGGACATGGCAGCATCTTGTGGTTCCACATATCCACTGTCGTGCATAACAGCACCACTACGCAGCCAATCCATGAAATTATTGACTGTACTAAGTATATACAAGGTGGTTCAAATATGACTGGGACTGATTTGTGTGTAAACAAGGTGCACTGCGCAGCAGCTGTGCGACCTTGAGAGAGTGAAGCCACAACCTCCATCCTCCCTCCTGTTAGGGTTAGAACCTGTTCAGTCCTGTCTGGGAGTTGCTAGAGTGATGAGCAAAGAGAAGGTACTGCAGAGCATGGAACAACATATTATGATCAAATTCCTCATTGGAGAAAACGTCCCATTTGCTGAAATTCACCACAGACTCCAACAACAGTATGGGGAAGTCTCTCTCATGGACCCGTGTGTCTGAGTGGTGTAAGTGCTTCAGAGAGGGCAGAGAGCATGTGGAGAATGAACCACATGATCGTCAGCCGCGAACATCTGTCACTGAGCCAAACACTGATTGTGCAGACGCACTTATTTGTGAGAATAGGCGTATCACTATCAAGGAACTTGGAGCAATGCTGTCCATCAGTGTTGGTAGTGTAGAAGACATCATGAAATACCACCTGCACTTTCACAAGGTGAATGCACGGTGGGTACCATGCACTTTGACGGACGTGAACAAAATGGTGCGCATGCAAGCTGCCAGTTGTCTTCTACAGCAGTTTGAAGACGATGGTGATGCATTTTTGAAGTCTATAGTTATCACCGATGAAACGTGGGTGCAATTCTTCGTTCCCAAGTCCCAGCAGTCATCACACGAGTGGCGGCATACTAGTTCTCCCAAACCCAAGAAAGCGCGGAGGAGCCGTTCAGCAGGAAAAGTGATGGCAACGTTCTTCTGGGACTGGCAGGGGGTTATCCATGTAGACTTTCTGACAGATGCCAGAACAGTCAATGCAACTTATTACTCAGACCTCCTGGCAACAGATGTGAAGGAAAAGATCTGATCCAAGCGGGTAGCCATCCTTCAAGGCAATGCACGCCCCCATACGGCCAAAACAACAATGGAAACCCTCCGGAAACTGAAATGGAACCTCCTGACACATCCACCGTACAGTCCCAATTTGGCCTCAAGTGATTTCTACCTGTTTGGAAGGCTCAAATCAGACTTACAAGGCATGCGGTTTGTCGACAACGCCGTCATCCAGACTGTTCGGGAGTGGATATGCCTCCAACCACAAGCCTTTTTTGAAAAAGGCATCAGGATGCTTCCAGAATGTTGGAAAAAATGTGTTGACTCCAGAGGGGAGTATGTTGAAGACTGACATGTGCAAGTAAGTGTTTGGCAATTATGTTAAAAAAAAAAATCAGTCCCGGTCATATTTGAACCACCTTGTATGAACAGTGTGACATATATAAAATACTGGACTGTATTTACATATTACAAAGTGGATCATAAGATATCTTTTCAGTTAGAAATAGTTTAGAACGTTAATATAATTAATGATAATAGCTGTAACTAAACACTGACAATATAAGATAACAAACTGAGTATAATTGGTAATAAGAAATGCAAGTAATATGTACAATTTAAAAAGGCTTAATCACATAAAACCTGTTTTGTCAGATAGTTTAAGTTTCTTACTAAAAAAGCCTTAATCCAACTACCACATTGCTTAAATAATTATATATTATAACCATAAAACATCATCTCATAAAAAAATCATCCAATGTATAAAAAGAATTAAAATACAAAAATTCCTTTGTCTTTAAACTTTTTTATATCCTTTGAAATTAGCTTAAGTGAGTTGGAAAGTGAATTATAAATCCTTACCTCCATATGATACATCCCATTTCCATATATCGCCAAATTTACTTGGGTCATGGGTATGTCCATAATGTGTCCGGTATTAATTTCATAGTGAGCTTTGTTTGTATCAAATATTTCTGTTTTTTACAATAAACATCATCTAGGAGTATATGTATTGTGATCTTGATGGAAATATATACATTTCTTTAAAATGTTCTCTACATGAATCTCTAAAACCACATCCTTTCATTATTCTTACAGCTCTCTTTTGTAGCTTGAATACTCTTTCAGCATGAGAAGAGTTACTCCAGAACATTATACCGTATTACATGACAGAATGGAAATATGAGAAGTAAACACTTTTTAATGTTTTCATGGAGACTATTTGTTTTACGTTTCTTATCATATAGCAGGCTTTGTTCAATTTCTTTATTATGTCATTTTGGATTGTCAGGCCAAGAAATTTAGTGTAATTAGCACATGTTATAGTAGCACCAAGTACCAACTAAACACAGCTCATCAGCTCGTTTCTTCTTGTTGCTACATTCACTGTTCAATTTAGGATTTTGTTCAACTTCAAAGTCACAATATAAACAATACTGGAAGCTGTAAGAGCACAAAAGAAATATTTCTTCGTGGTATAAATGTTTGAATTTTGTAAATGTGGTTATCTGAGTCATGGGAAGGAAGGTGAGGCGAAGCACAGATGTTACAAGCAGAAAAGAATAAATGGTGACTTACCTGTATGCTATTCAGGATGAAGAGCCGTAAGGAGAGGGCACTGTAACGTGTATACCCACTGCTAAGAAATAACTTGGCAAACACATACCCGTGAAGCATATGCATGCAACAGAAGGACGTCCATTGCTAGATAATGAACCAGTAAACATTCCTTCTTAACAAGAGAGGCTGTTTTTTCTGTGTGGTCCATGCTGAGGGCTTATAAAAGGTTACGGTCAGAAGTGAAGAGTCAAGTTTTGAGATGCCAGCCTGCTGGGATATGAGCTTGGGAGCAGAGGAATTGAATTGAGTCTAGTCTTCATAATTGGCAGTGGCAGAATATTGGCAAGAAGGGAACTAGACTGTGAAATGAAGACTTTATGTGCGTTGTGGAGTGACAGTGAAATTGTGATCAATCCGCTGCCAGGATACAATTAGTGAAGACTGAGAATTCTAGTGCATGTGTAAATGAGCAACAGCGCTGTATTACGTGTAATCCCAAGTTATGAATGTATAAGGGTCAATATATCCAATCATTCAATCTAAAATCCATCTTATAAGTCATGTGAAAACTTTTATGTATGACGACATCAACCCAAATCAAATTTGGTCCGCAAGTTTAAGTAACTAAAAAGTCAAAACTCTGAGACCATGGGAAACACCAGGCCCCACCATAGTCTAAATTCCATATTACTCTTTCAAACCTCTCTGCTGACCATTATCATCGTACTGTTATCAGTAGTAAATAGAACAGTACCAAACTGTAGACACATTAAAACCAATTAAATTCAACAAAAATCAATTCAGCCAGAGCAGGTTTTTAACATGTAAGGGAACAACATGATAACAGGCACATTTATTTAACTTCACAGACTTAAACTTAATCCTAATTAAGTTGGACAGTTCTGCACATCCGTACCTATTACAATTACAAAGTATGACCATCACACAAAGAAGTCTAGCCCTATATATTTACCACAACTGGAGCCTCATCATCATCATCCTTGTCCAAGCCTGTGAAATCCCACATGAATTTAAGAGTAAGTCTTTCCTGGAACCGCTTTGCTTTAGACTTGAGTCTGCCATCCACAGTCTCACTAAGATGTAGTGTTCTGAAGAGGGTGAGCAGACTGCGGTACACAAAGTTGTTGCTTGCCACTATGTCCACCAAGAAGTCTTCTTGTATCTCTACTAATTGCGCTCCCAGTGCTGACAGAAACTCATCGTACACTTCTCTTCGTTTGGATACAGCATCATCACATGAACAGAGAAGTTTTACAAGCTGTTTCCAATGCTCAAAGGCTTCCAGACTCTGTCCAATAAGAAAACACACGAACGCAAACTGCAGCTCTCCCACTATGTCAATTGGTCTGGAACCAAAGAAACATACGGCTTTCACGGTGGTTTGTTGAAAATTTTGTTTCCTTTGGGGTGTAATGGCAACATGTTTTAGTGACCTACAATACTAACATTTCCAACACACTGTAATCTCAATCTTCAGGATGAAGCAGCTTATAAAATAGGTAGCTCTCATAATTATATCACATATAATTTCACATCCAATAATCAGAACACAAGCTTTCACCATGGTCCCATGCATACTACATGACACCTAGATATGGCAGCAGTTGCTTTGCACTGGATATGAAGACCATTTATTTCTCCAAACCAGTTGAAAAAAATTAGCTCACCAAAGTAGCATCACCAAAAAATGAAAACAGAGGTTTATAAAACACGTTTTAATTCATGAAACAGTATAACTTATCTCAAAAATTATAAAAAACTACATATATGTGAATATAAGAAAATTTCTATTCTTTAAACTTAAATTAGGACAAAAACATTTCATTTCAACTTTAATGTCAAGTGAGATGATTCTCATAATCATAGTGTGAAGTACTGTATCCCTTCTTCAACTAAATGACAGCTAAAGAAAGACAATATGGTCACTCCAAGCAGTTCTTATATATGAGGGACTTTCAGTAAATAGGTCATGCACATGTGTACACAGGCAGACTGCACTAGTGACACATATGACACACAAAAACTACGACAGCCGCAATAGAGTGCAATGACAGCATTTTGATCATGAGATAGAACTAAATATTGACGAGCATGGAAGCATGGTGAACAAGTGTACGGGGCAGTGGTCTCCCCAAAAGAAAAGAAAATTACCTGATTATGGCCCATATGCAGCTGAAACATGTCGTAAACTAGAAGAAATATATGATTAGAGACATTTCAGAAATTGGATAATCACATTTAATGCATAAAATATACTTTCATTGTCCTATTGACATGTAATGGTTTTAACAACATCAAAAAGTATTAAAATACATTTTTAGTGTGAAACATATTCCTAATGTCTTTTATATGGTTGCATTATTGACGGATACTTTGATAATAAGGATAAACTCTTTTGACTGTTGTCTCTGCCACTTCTGAATCTGGTTGGGCATCTGCGACTTTCAAATGTCCTTGAGGGAATTTTTTGACCCAGCTGTGAACCACTTTATGTGGCAAACACCACCATAAACAGGAAATATTTCTTTATGAATATCCTTTGCACTGAGTCCTTCTGCCCACAAAAGACACACAACAGAATGCTGCTCTTCAGTAGCACACTCCTCAAGCACAGTTGCCATTTTGACTACTGAAATCAGTCTGATCATGTGCATGCATGTCTGCTACCTAGACTATCATGAAGCCGCACCGTGGTGTGACCTAGTGATACACATGGAAAACCTATTACATCCATTACAGCTGTTTTACTTGCATTTATGACCTATTTATTGATTCTCCCTCATATTACAGGTCAAGTCTGTGTCTCCATTTTAGAGTAATCAGTAATGACATTCTGTTTAAGTAGAGAAAGTCAGTGCCCGTGCAGGGAAAATCCCTGTTCCCCTGCCGCAATCATGTAAACTACTGCCTCATTACAGTAAGCAGCATGTTTCTGTCTCAAAAAAATAAAAAAAAGAAAGAAAGAAAGAAAGAAAGAAAGGCAAAGCTGTCCCTGTAACAGGCTGTGGAGGCCCAAAGCGTTGTGGGAGGTTTAGGATCCCACATCTTCTAGACAATCAGCTCACAGAGGGTGGTAACGTTGTTAACCCTATGTGCCAGCCACACTTTAACCCCCAGGAAGATGCCTGGTACCCATTTCTGTTAGAGGCTCAGGCAACCCCAGGGCCATAGTGCAGCTGGAAGGATTTGGGACTCGAACTCGTGACATTCCAGCTTATAGCATAGTGACTCAACCAACTACGCTCCTAAATACACTATATAAACGAAGTTCCCTCATTGCATATTTGTGATAAATCTAAACATGTGAAATTTTTCAATATATCTAGTGAATACCATGAACTCATAAGACTCAAATTATTTGTAAAGTTTTTCAGTGACTGAAGTTAAACTATTGTTCAGGTCAACCAGTTTTATGACACTGAAGGAACAATTCACTAACTCTCTCACCCTGAGCAACACACCTTTTGTATTTGGCTAACATGGTCTCCAAGACATAGGTAGAATCCAGTGAGTGGTGTGTTATCTCCGCTGGGGTAGAGCCTTCTGGAAAGTTCCTCTCAGGAAATTGTGTGAACCTCAACTCAGTTCCTGGGGTTGGCTTCAGCTGGGGCAGAAGGTCTTCTTCTCTCTCCTCAGCCGTCAGTGGGCGGCTTCTTCGCTTTGGCGCTGGTACATCACCATACGACTTGTCGCAAGATACCAGTTCCAGTGCTGATCGGATCTGTCCCAACTCAGGAACTAGTCTAGATATAAGTTCATCTAAAAAAACAAAAGCTTCTGTATGAGTTGGGGGTAGCTCAACTGGTACAGTGACTATACTACAGGCTGGACAACTGGGGTTCAATTCCTGGCAATGGCAGAAATTTCTCTCTGCCACGGCATCCAGACTGGCTCTAGCCTCCATTCGGCCACCTATCTAAGAGGCACTGGAGGTAAAACAGTTGGGGTGTGAAGCTGACAATTCACCCTCACCTGATGCCAGGGTTAAGACTGTATGGAGTTATATCTCCACTCCCCATACATTTTAATGGTGTGGCGCTTAATTTACCTGCCTCGATAATTTCTCTTACACAATGCCCTCCACATACAAAAGAATTTGCTTATAGAACCTAGCCCATAACCCATAATTACAACAGAGGGCTCAGTGACAGTGTATCTGTTGAGTGTCAGAACTCAAAAAGTGTCAAATGGGATTTGAAGATAATCATTAAAAGTGAGTAGATAAGGATTTAAAAACAGGTGGTCGTGGCTGATTTCAACGTACTGTCCTAGCATTTGTCTAAACGGGAGGAAAATCTAGCTAGTAACCCAGCCAAGATTCTGACTAATACCTTCAGAACAGAAATACAGAGCATTACTGCTACATTAACTTGCTTGGTAGCACAGCAATGATATGTTTGGAAGGTATGAAATTTGAATCTCAGCTAGTGCCAGACATTATGACTGAGGATTTCAAGGACTGTCTCACCTTCTCTAATCAATGACACACCACTTCAACATTAAAATGGGTTACTACACATTTCTTTTTAATTATCACATCAGTCTACCATCTACAAACACTAACCAGTCTAGCAATTATACTAATGGTTAATAAAGTAGATAATATGAAATGAGAGGGATTTCACATAAACCATTTTTTAGTTCCTTGTCTGGTTCACAGAGTATGTAAACATGTATCCACTGCAAAGTCAAATTACTGCCAAATGAGTACAAAGGATAATCACATACACTGAATTATGTATAAACTATAGTGGGAAGAGTCACAGCCTACTTCAAGGTACTGTCCTGGCATTTACATGGAATGACTGAGAAAAACCACGAACTACATCATGATAGCTGAGGTTCCAGCTGACATTTTAACATGGTACCTTTCAAATACAAGCCAGATTTGTTACTGTTTGAGCTAACCTGCTAGGCAAGTGCTTAGGCAAGGGTTACATAGTACCAAGGATATTACACATACCAGTCACCTTGCTGGTAAGGTCCTTCCACCTCTTCCATATGTCAAACGGATAAGGTCCCAAGAACCGATCCAGGTTCAACAGATCTCCTCTGATGCGGGATATTTCTTCTTCACTCAACTCTGAAAAACACCAAATTCAACATGCAGCTGATTAACTCTCTGGAAACAGAAGCCACATGTTGAATATCATTAATACCAAATATATAATTTGATACAATCTTTAGCCCAACACCATTCACCTCCCACCCTCATTGTCCATTTTCCAACAATCCATCTTAATGCTATTCTTGCATCTCCTCTTCAGTCTGTGAAATGTCTGCTTTCAAAGTGGCTTCCTTAACATGTTCCGTAGGCATTCCAAGCAGATGTTCATCTCACCATAACATCCCAGGTTCCACTGTGACAATAATACTAAACTGCATAAATTATTAAATTCCTTTAAAAAGTAATATCCTAAATTTCCAACTTCATTTTTCTTACACGCAAATGACTTTCAAAAATCTAGAGCAGATGCACAGTACCAAATAAGAATGAAACCAAAGAGTATAATTTTTGAACTTATGGATGGGCAGATATGACTTGTGTAATGGGTGTTTCTGAAACACACCTAAACACTACACTAGTAGTTACAATGTCTGTACCATAGCAGCATTTCCTTCACTCCAGATATAACACCTACGCCACTCTGTCAGTCTTCTGGGACTAGGAAGCAACACTTCCTCCATGCTAGATAAAATGTCTACACAGTCATTATTATCTTGAGAGCCTCATCTGCAAGAACACAGTGAATCACACAGAAGTGAGGTTGGCATTAAAGTAGAGCTTCAAGAAGTGCATCCTCCCCTTATGCTCTTGCAAAAAGAAAAGTGCTATTCACTCTCACCAAATATATTCGCATAGTCTCTTATCCAACATAACCAAAGGTTCTTGGAAATAAAAATGGCCAGAATGTGAATCTGACTACACATTTCCATCTACTTCTGAGTGCAAGAACGCACTGAGACTTATTTCAATGCACAAGCGGCCTCCGTAGTCTAGGGGTAACGTTCCCACCTCATGACTCAAGGTATGGGGGCTCAAACCCGGCGGAGGTCGTGGAATTTTTAAGGGCGGAAAAATTCAGGGAACAAGTCCTCCGGGAGGGACCTTAAGCCGTGTGTCCCGTGTCGTAGATTTATGGCATGTAAAAGAACCTCATGTCTCTAGGAGACCTATGAGCTAAATTAGGCAACAATTTCCCGCCCAAGTAGTTTCCATTGCCTCTGGTAGATGGGGGAAGTATCAAGGTACCGAGGGCCGACCTCGTTGGCTCAGCGGGGCTGATAGCATGCACCATTACCGGTACAGTATGGCAACTGGTAGAATATCAAAGGGGGACGTACAATAGATCAACAACTGGTCACGGTGCATGGGGAAACCCACCCCCTCCAATAAGAATAATAATAATAATATTTCAATGCACTCTACTTGCATTCAGCTGATCACAGAGGCTGCAGGGTCTAGGGCATGAACTGTCTTCACTCACTCGAACACTTGGATCATGGGTTCAAATCCCACTCAAGGCATGGATGTCTGACTGTGTTTATTCTTTGTGTTCTGTGTAGGCAGCAGCCTTGTGATGGGCTGATCCCCTTGTCTGAGTAATCCTACCGACTGTCTTAGGGTTAAGAAACTGAAGTGAAACAAAGCGTTTCATAGATGGCCTATGCTCCAGGCTGGGAGAAATGGGGCGGTTCCATATCATATGGCTTAGGCACAGGGGAAACTTTCTCACCTTCAGCTTTACCATTCAACTTTATTCTCCTAACAAGATTTACACACTGCAAGAAAGAATGAAAATGAACAAGGATTTCTGGCTTTTTACAGCTGAGCACTGCTGCCAATTTTAAGTGAATGTTGTCAGATTCAAGGTTCTCAAGGTGGTGATTATCTTCTGGGATGTTACACTGTGCAGTATGGTAGATGTTTACTGACATTTCAAAGGAATATGTTTGGAGATAAGTGAGCACGTAGTTACTTTGGTAAACATAAACTGACCACTACTGCCTGTTAATAGGGGTGGAGATGAGTGAGCATGTACAGTTATGTTGGTAAATATAAACTAACCACTACTGCCTGTTCATAGCTTCAACGCCATATCCAGTTCTGTCAATATAATAAATTAAGATTTATGCACCTGTAGTACTAATATCTTCAATTGCAGGGTCCCATTTCTTCACCATAAACTCAGACTTCTTGAAGTTGTGTACAAAACCAACTCGTGGTGCTGTATCTCCCTCACTGTTCACTGCACTGAAAGTGACAGCAGAATTCTGTTAAATCTTTCAAACCCTGAAAATATTAATCAATTAAACTGTTTATTTATTTACTTATTTATTGTAAGATCATAACATCCAGGCACTGGAATCTAAACTTGTGCAAGTTCTTGGTTACAGTTTCTTTCAGCGTTGATTTCTAACACAAGGATATACAAGATGTATTGGAAGTGGAGGTGAAGAAGAAACAGCGGATGATGAGGTTTATCCAAGGTGTGATTATTACTAGTTGATTCTTAGCAAACAGAGAGAAAATTTTTCTTCTCCTCTACTCACTTTATTCAGTTAATGCATGAAACACCCCGGTATTCTGTAACAAAACGGATTACGTAGCATGTACACAACTACTTCCTGGCTATACTTGACTGGTTTCAATGCACTTTACTCCACCGATACCTTCAGATTATTTCCCTTAAGAGTTTCATACTTCTGTAACAATCTTGAATTTGGGTAACACGTAATATAACTTGAATTCACACTTACATCGCTTTTCTAGTTAACTTAAAATGCTGGAAGTAAGGTGTCCGAATAGTTCTTAAAACCACAGACAAACACTTACTTGTAAGATTTGAGGTTTTCACGGCGGTGACTATGAAGAAAGCAGTCTTCTGGAGCGGTTAACACCACATCTACACGGTGCCACATCCCAGAAGACTGCTTTCTTCAAATACTTACTTGTAGTACACGTAATGAGGGCCTGGTGGTATCATTTTCACTCCTTTGAACTTATCCCCCGTATTCCACGACTTCATATCAATGCCAAATTCGGTTCCTCGGGGCACATCCAAGAACACGAGGGTTGCTCCTTCGAGTAGTAGCTGGCGAGCCAGACGTTGATCTATATCCAGGCTGTCACTCATTGCAGAATAATGTCTTTACTTGCACAGATTATTGCTCGTTACAGACGAGACTACACCACACCACAATAATAAACTACATTTCGACAACAACCTAGCACTGCCACCATCGCCACTATCATCCGTATTTACACGACCATGCCGAGGAATTTTTCACGGAACTGAGTAACCGGTCGCAGATCACTAACCCAGCTTCCACTGGTTCATCCATGTTACAATGCGATGCTGTTATTTACAGGTTATATTATTATTATTGGAGGGGATGGGTTTCCCTATGCACCGCGACCAGTAGTCTATTGTACGTACCCCTAGTCCACCCCGAAAGTCATGTCTTGTTAGATGATTAATTTGAAACTCAATACAAGATTTCCACAAACACCACTGCTTTATTGGTACCACGTATGGCGATCACGGAGCGTACCATAATAGGCGCCATAGACAACACAAAACAAGCACTACCAAGAGGACGAAGGGCTCTGATCCTGTACGGTTATCTATGCCCTGGTATGAACCGAGGAAGCTAGGGAAGGCTTTGGGAAGTTGGGAAGTGTGCTTATGCGTGTTTCGCCCATGTGGTTGAAACTTGTGATATTGTCGGGTCATTTCAAGTAAGGATTAACGATATTTTTAGGTGTGCAAATGGCACAGAATATTTGCCTTGACACATCGTTACAGTCGACATTCACAAAAGCTGTCAAGAATATTAAAACTCTGATTAAGGCAAGTACTTATCAGTCGCTGTTGAAACTGAACTTTATGGAATATTTCTGTGTTTAGTTTTTATTTAGAATCTTTAATTGTCTCGGATCAGTATGGATTAAAAATAACAGTTCAACGGAATGGCTATATTTAACCTAATAAATCAAATTTTATCCCAAATTAATAAGAAATCATCAGTTAGTGGAATTTTCTGTAACCTAACTAAAGCTTTTGATACTGTAAATCATGACATCCTAAAACTAAATTAGAGTATTATGGCATAGTAGGTAGATTTGGTGAATTAATTAAATCTTACTTAAGTAATAGGTATCAAACAGTAATAATGAAGTCACTATATGCTTCAAATTATGTTTCAGCCTGGAAATTAGTGCCCCAAGGGTCGATTCTTGGACCCTTATTGTTTGTATTTTATATAAATGATCTACCTAAATTAGTAAAATGCAAAGCCTTACCGATACTCTTTGTAGATGATGCAACCTTTATAATATCAAATTCTGATTCAGTGAAGATGGACCAAATTGTTAAAGTAGATCTGGAGATTACACAAAAATGATTTAACTCAAATAGCATGCTATTAAATATTAGTCATCGGACTTTGGTTACCACTGAATTCAATAATTATAAAATTAACTGTACTAACTCCATTAAATTTTTAGGTATTAGAATCTTCATTAACATAGAAAGAACATATTGATTATATAAATTCAAAGTTAAATTCGTTAGGCTACATGGTTTGTTCCCTCAGACCTGTATTAGAATTGAAAATCCTGAGGCAGATCTACTTCTCCTCTGTTCATTCAGTGTTAAATTATGGTATCATGTTTTGGGGTAATTCACCACACAGTAGATCTATTTTTATAACCCAGAAACGAATTGTAAGAATTATCATGAAAGCTAAAGCAAGGGATTCCTGTAGGGAAATGTTTAGTAAACTTGGAATTTTAGCTCTTTATGCCCAATACATTTTTTCAACTCTTATGTTTGTTGTAAAGCATAAGGATTTTTTTTTCACAATAAATACTGCCTTGCATAAAATAAATACCTGCCAAAAATTGGACTCTCATGTTCCTTTAGTAAGTCTAACTAAAGTTCAAAAAGGAGTATATTATTCCGGTGTTACCTTATTTATCTCTCTACCCCCCAATATCAAGCAAGTTGCACATGATATTAATACATTTAAACATAAATTGAGAATGTTTCTTATAGAAAACTCTTTGTTCAGTTGAGTATCTTGATAGGAATAATAAATTTAACCTCAGGGTATCCCAATAATTATAGCTTTGTATTTTAGTTGCATGCATTGGTTTCTTATATATATTTTAATTTTTATTAATTTTATGTTAAGACAATCTTATGTAAATATCAATGTAATCTGCTGACAATTTCAGTATCCAATGGTCATGTACCTTAATGGATTGATGAATGCTAATAAATACAATACAGTACAATTGAATGTGATTTGTGCAATTTGTAACTGCGTTATTAGTATGTAACTGTGTTACTGAGCTAACGTTCAGATTGTATTCTTAAGTATTGCAATTTTTTTGTCTATTCTACAGAAGAAGGAGCTGCCAGCCCAGGACCAGTTCACAGATGTCACTGCTAATGCTGCAGAGAAAAAGGCGGTTTTGGGAAAGGGGAGAAAAGTTAATCAACAACATAATAAACATACACAGAAGGATCATGGCAAAGGGATTGTATACCTTAGCCACATCCCAGAAGGCTTTTGTAAAGAAGACATGTACTCTTACTTCTCCCAGTTTGGCAGGGTTACTCGACTTAATGTGGTCAAGAGCAAAAAGGTATTAACCTTTAACGTCCAAAGTGCCCCTTCGGGCCAATGATGAGTAAGAGCGTTGTGGCCAGAGTACCCCGTTTTGGCCAGTTGGGCATTTAAACTCTGCTAGTGGAAGCGCTTGCACAGTCCTAAATATTTATTTTTAAATGTAGTAATTACCAGACTGACTTGAGTAAAACCCTAATAGAGGAATTCAAATGATACCTAAGTGAACAACAACAAAAAGAATATACGTATGAGTCATGCCCAAACTCATCCACGAGCCAGTACTTTTATTGCACATTCTGCAGATTACTGTGTTAAAAATATATAGTAAAATTGGATGTACATATCTTTTTTGTTATCTGCTTGATGTATATATAGGCTGAAATGAAACTACAGTATTCGATTTCATTATGAACGCACGGAAAGCAGATCACACTCTGTATCTCAGCCACGATGCAGCTGTGTGTTCACGCCAATAGAAAGGGCAATAATTGCTTGCAGCTAAAATGGAAGGTCTTAGCACTGAAGAAGGGACCCTTCGAGCTATTTCTTGAATAGCCATTCTTTCATTCTTCTGTCATTCAGTCAAAAGATTCGAAAATCTGAAGAGTGTAACAAAGATGTAAGGTTTTCCAGCAGAGAACCAAATTATTTTATTGCTCCAATCTGTTTTATGGCACCAGGGACTGCTAAAATTTTGTCAAGTGTTACAAACAGAAACGAATTTATAATGCAGAATAACTCTGTGAAGAACTTCAAAACCAATTTTGCAGTACGCATCAAAATTAAAACAAAAAATTGAGAATGGAGTATAACTTTTTGTATACAATTTTTCAAATCTTCCATTGTAATATGTGACACTATGTTCTTTGCTGATACAAACAAAGTTAATTCCATCCATTTTTCATAAAAATTGTGTTAGACACAGCATTTTTAAACACAATGCTTAAAATTGTTTAAGCGCCCTAACAGGAACGGACATTTAAACGCAGAATAGCAACGTGCATTTAAACGCACACCAGCAGCGGGCATTTAAATAAACTCCGGCCAGCTCAAGCTTACCACCATTTCAAAAGCCCGGCGTTTAAAGGTTAACTAACTAGCACAATAGATTATTGAATGTCACAGTGCAAGGGCCAGTAGGATCCACCCCTTATGCATTCAGCTGTATGAAGCTCAATCCTTATTTAGAGGTTGCCAGTGGCTTAGCTACTCAAGAATTTCTCAACATTTGCTGAACCTGAATGTTCATTACCGTGTTCACAAGAGTCATCCACTGGTCCATATCCAGTCCATACCAGCCCATCCTATTTTTCTGAGATCCATTTAAATAGTATCATCCTAACTACATCTAGGTCTTCTTAGTGGTCTTTCTGTCCTTCTGGCTTTTCAACCAAAATCTTAAATGCATTCCTTTGCATGCCACATGCCCTGCCCATCTCACCCTGCTCGACTTCATCATTGTAATTATATCTGGCAAAGAGTACAAGTTACGAAGCTTCATATCATGCAGTTTTTTCCAGCCTCCTGTTATTTCAACACTCTTTATTATTATTATTATTATTATTATTATTATTATTATTATTATTATTATTATTGGAGGGGGTGTGTTTCCCCATGCACCGCGACCAGTGGTCTATTGTA